TTCATCTTCAGTGTCTGAAGAGGATAATAATGAAAGAAAATCGTCATCGCTTCCAATCTCTTCAACCACTATATCATCATCCTYATCTTGGTCATCATCATCACTGTCGTCAGTCTCGTAAACACTATTATTAGTAGGCTGTTGAGTTGGCAAAAGTGACCTAGCAATATCCATTGTCACAGCATCCACTTTTTCGGTTATTTTTGCTCCCCTGGAGATTTTTAGTCACTTGTTTTCTATATACATGTCGAGTACTGACACCTTTAATTTTTTCAGACCTCCATCCCTGTATAAACCCTCCCAATTAAAATCGTTGAAACATTTCTTCCTTTCTTCCTTCCTTGTAAGTTCTCTGGTCTCTGCCCTCTTTTTTTTCTTTCGGCTCCAGATGATGAAGATGTTCTAAGTATTGTGCTACTAGCCGTTTTTCAACCACGTTCTTCTTGCTGAATTTCTCAACTGCGTCTTCATCATTCAGTTTGCCTGTAATTTAGATCAATTGAAATTATGAGAAACTGATTGATATTTATAAAGAAAAATGTGTTAAATAACATGCAATTCCGAACACCTTCCTTAATATTCATACCAACAGCAAACAGCTTTCGTAACGCAACTCTTGGTTGATAGTCGTCTACTTCCCTGTTGTCTCTTGGGGTATCCTCCAATGCACAGTAGTGCAGACCCTCCCTGCCATAGTCAGGATAAGGCCTCCTTACTCTCTCAACTTCTAACTTCATACCTTCACAAAACTCACACAAGGTTCCTACCAAACAGAATTATTATCAGTTTGTAATTATTTATTTTGTGATATGCAAACTACACATATAGCATATAATTTATAATAATTGACATGCACGTTGCAACGTTTTGACAATAATTATAATAACTAGCACATGAGCTGTCCTAGAAGTAATTGTTTTGTTTTATTATTTATATTATATATAATATATACACCTTTACCTAACGTTCTGGCACAACTTCCTCTTACATACTCCATGTGCAATTCACCAATGTCATAATTGGTCTTCATAAAGTCTTCTAATTTTTTACAGTATCCATGCCCAGGTACACTCCCCTTCTTTGATTCGGCAGCTTTTATATATTCCTCTAGATATACAGCATTCCAGAAAATATGCTTTTTCGCAATGAAGAGAAAATCGCGAGCACAAAAACAGAACAATCGAAAAACAAAAAAGGAACATAGCTAGAAAAAATGCTAGAACTGTGCAAATACTTAAGAAAATAGCCCCATCAGTTCAAGGAGACGATGTTTGTACTCGTCAAGATTTGCAGGATCCAATTATCATGAAACTTGGTAAAAGAGAGAGAAAAATGGGCAGTAGCCCTTATATCTAAATCATCACCTCACCTGGATAAAAGAACAAAACAACATTTGAATTGAATCAAGATATAAATGTTGAAAAAACTATGTAGATAATGATGATGAAGAGCAAGGGTCAGATTATGATAATTATGATGATAATAATGATGATAGTGATGATGATGGTGATGATGATGATGTTGATGATGACGACGACGATGATGGTGATGATGTCAGCGTTGATGATGAGAGCAATTTATAATGATAATAACAATAAAGACAATTTACGTGTCAATATTTATACCGATTTATAAAAATAGTTATGATTTAGGTTATGGTAATTATGATAATGTTGTACGTGATGATGATGATGTTGATTACAATAATCCTGATAATCAAGGCGAAGAATGTGGATTTAGATGTTCATTTTAATAGATGGTCATGATAGTGTTGATGTTGAWAATGGTAGCAGCAATGAAAGTACAACAATCGCAGCTCAATTTTTTGATAGTTTATATATACGTTATATTACAATTTATCATAGATATTTTTACATTTTTGCGAGTTTATAGTGTGTAGCACAAAACATACATATGAAGAAAAAATGGTTTGGACGTGTTATTACTCTTATAAATAATGTTTTTAATAAAATTAATAGAATTTGTCTGCATACCAAAAAAGTCAGAGGCTTATACTCTGTAGCTAGCTTATAGGTGGGATACATATTGAACAGGAGGTTTTTGTGGATTATATGGGGGCCCAGAAAATTGCGACCCTCCCTCTAGCATGCGCCCAAAAAGTTTTGGCCCTCCCTAATGGAGGGCCCAAACAATCGCAGCACTCCCCATAAATTTACCGGCCTTCCCCCCGCAATAATTAATGACCGCTCCCTTAGGATACAGCTCACCAATAATAAGGATGTGAATTTCTTTTTTGTCTCATTGAATAATGCCGATCTGAAATGTGAATTTACTGATTTTATTCCTAAGAAGAACCATTGATAAAGAACTGGACTGTGGGGTCCCACAGAGCTCTGTGCTGGGCCCCGTACTTTATCTGTTATAAGTCTCTCCGCTGGGTGATATCATCCGCAAACACTGCGTGTCTTTTCATATGTATGCGGATGATACGCAGTTGTATATGACGTTCACGTATCAGGATGATAGCAATCTATTGGGGAGTTAGGATGGCGTGGTGGAAAAAAAGTCCGGGGTTCGAATCCCAGTCGCCCCATGTGAGCTGAGTTCTTGGTCCTCTTTCTAACTCCGAGGGTTTTTCCGGTCCACTTGTTTTTCCTCCCTCCTCTCAAATCAACCCTAACTAATTCAAACTGGTTAGAGCTGTGCTCCGGGGTCATACATGGACTGTATAGCGGCTGCCCCAGAGGCGCCTTCACATGCTTTCAGTTCGACCCACTTTGAGCTGCGTCACTGCTGTACTTGCGGTGGTGATAAGCAATGACAAGTTTTTTTAAAAATTTAGCGTCCGCTATAGAATATGCATTGAAGGTTGTCTTCTGAAGATCGACCAATGCATATCAATTTATATCAGTTTATATTTGTAATTTGAATGTTTACAATATGTTGTGAAATATCAGTAAAAAACAATAGTAATTACAATTAGTAACATTACACAAGGGAGACCAAATACTCAAGACTGTTCCAGTTGAGTGATAGTGACTAATAGTCGCTAAATAAAAAATGTTAGGTAGTAACTATTTAGATTTTATTTCATGGACATAGTGTAAGCACTCTACAAAATGATAGAAAAGAATTGTTTTGACATTGTTTTGGCCGTGTTGCCATAGCGACTTAATTCGGTACTATTACGGAGTACAATTAACGCTATAATTGTACTCCTCACGACCAATCACAGTCGAGTAATTTTGTTGAGTGTACTATAATACAAGTAATCCTACCTTCATGCAAACAAGGCGCTACCCTCTAACACTAGCCAGAGTACTCTTGCCTCTTACATAATATCCAGAGAAGAATATYCGGACTCGGCCTTCAGGATGGCGCGGTGTGAAAACACTTGCGTCTCACCTATGAGGTCCGGGAATAGAATCCCAGTTTTTTAGCTCCCTTTCTGATTCCGAGGGTTTTTCCGGTCCTCCTATTTTCCAAATAAGTCCTAACTAATTTAAACTGGTTAGAGCTGTGCTCCGGGGTCATACGATACATAGACTGTATAGCGGCTGCCAGAGGCGCCTTAACATGCTTTCAGTTCGACCCCGTTGATTTGCGCCACTGCTGTACTTGCGGTGGTGATTATTGATGAAGATTTTTTTCTCCGTGACTCTGGTAAACAAAATGCCTTCATGTAAACAAGACGCTACCGTATGTAATTAATCCTAGTTAATCCCTCTTCATTTAAATAAGCTTTTCACCAACATGATTGAGAAAGTTTTTATATGAAAACTAAGAGTAGTCCAACAATGAAGTCATTAGAGCTTCTCTCGATAATAAGATCAAGCTTTAGCCGTAGACATGCACATTTGTACTTCGTGGCTTTAGATATGGATTTTCACGTTGAGTAACATCATTTTATTATGTAATGCAGACCTTTTTATCTTAATCTTTTTATTTCAATTAACCGCGGCGGTTTTAAACTCCGTGCGCTCTAAAACAATACGCGAATACAATAAGCCTTTTCATAGTTTAAGAATCGATTCCACTGCGCATGCGATTTTATCTCGAATTTCTTACCTTCTTTTGTCTAAACCTTCTTTTGTTCTTAATTAAACAAAAGAAGGTGAGAAATTCGGGATAAAATCGCATGCGCAGTGAATCGATTCTTAAACTATGAAAAAGCTTATACAACCCTTTTCCCATGGAATGTGACATCATATAGCAAAGAAAACCTACTTTTTGTTAATAAAGTTAACACTGAAACGTTTAACCTGCGTTATAGGGCGCACAGAATTTCAGAATTTGAAAAAGAGTTAAAGCAATAAAATGATGTAACTGCACGTGATCATGAAAACCAATAGTCAGCACATCTAAAGTTGCAAAGTGCATGTTTGCATGTCTGTAGCTATAGATTGATCTTATGCAAAAGCTCTATTGAAAGAAATTTTGCCAACGATATCACAATTCGTGCTCCTCAAATATGTCAATTTATAGGAGTTTTATAGCTTTAAAAAGCGGTACGGTTCCTAGTACCCATTAACAACAAAACGTGCATGTAGTTCAAAGTATACTAGTTAAACAGTGCTACTATTAAATCTATCAGAGTAATCTGATGACTAAGATTGTTCAAATATTAGTGACATGCAAGTATGTTCGGGCATCTACGAGATTGCACGCTTCGATCCGAACAGTTGAAAATATAGCAAATAATCTTTCCTTCGTATATTCGCAACGCCGATCTTATTGAAAATATTAAAATTACTAAAAAGAGGGTTTATTTCGAGAGAAGAAACAGCAAAATGGTCGAAAACTCACAATTTTCCGAGGGAAGCCTGGGACGAGTTTTAAAAAATTCCGCATATTCCGACTCAAAAAAGAAAGAAAAAAGTTTTGAATAATAAATTTTATGCATAATTTAACTCAGATTTTAAAGCAAAATTTTGAAAAAATCCTTGTTTTGTCTTGAATAAAGCTTTGAACTATCAGGGCGGGAGGAGACAATGGTAACCCTTTGAGCATGCGTTGTTACGTAACCAGGATGACATAATCGATGTAATCAGTCTTGCTTAGCTAGCTTGAAGGTTCAGGTCGTTCAGGGCTATTTGAAGAAACACTGTGGTTTGAAAAGGGCACGACAGCAGCGCCATCTTCTTTAGGGAAAGAAAAAATGGAGGACAAAGAGAAATATTCGCCGAAACGCTTTAAACGTTCAAGATCTGAGAGTGAAGAAGATGTTGAAGTCGAGGATCGAGTGAGTGTTATTCAACAGCGAAAACAAAACCAAGAAGAACTCGAAGTGAGAGAGGATAAGCAAAGTAGTGACTACTACTGTCGGAAAGGACCTTCTCTTTCCGAAAATTCAATCAGTAATATCCTAAAAGTCGTATCACTTCAATCGTTTTCTAGTTCCCCGCGCTTGGCACCGAGTGAAGCTCTAAATGGTCACCAAACAACAAGAAGTTTTGGTTGTCGTTTGAATGGTTCTGACTCCCCGCCTCCAAGGAGCAACGGTGAAAGTTCACCGAGTAGCGAAGACTCAGTAGGTACCAGTTACCGTCCTGCTCCCGTCCTTCCCTCAAGAAATTCGTCAAGGAAATCTTCCTCTCGAGGTAAAAGGGGAGAAAAGGCGAATAATCCACCAAAAGATGAAAAGTATTGGGAGAAAAGAGTCCGGAACAATGCTTCTGCTAAGCGCTCAAGAGATGCAAGGAGAGTTCGAGAACTCGAATGCCAAATTAGATCCGAATATATGGAGGACGAAAATCGAAAGCTAGAAGATGAAAACAAACTGCTCAGAGAAGAGAACATGACACTTTTGAAGATGATAGAGGAGCTAAAATCACGCGATTGATATAAAGTTGTCAAGCCACCTCGCTGTTGTTTTGGTTTGTATATGTACCTTATATCCGAGGACAACGAACTCTGAACTCTGAATCAATCAAATTTATATATAATTATGCTTTTACTGAACTGGATCGATATCGCTTATTTTTCAACAGTAAGTTTAGAAGAATTGTTCGAGGAATATTTGAACTAACTATGTGTTTACACTGTGACGTAATCGTTCTACGATCATCAAAATCGTGCACGAAATCATAGCATTCAGTTATTTGGAACCCTGATTTTCTCCAAATACGCGATCAGTGGTAGAATTTTTTACCATAATGTTTTTCTTTGTGGAAAACGACTTTTCAAGTCAGTAATATATAGTATTTTATTACTAAACAGTCGTCAGCGACATGTCCAGCCAAGTGTTACATGATTAACATATGGAATATGTCATTCCCTCTTAAGAATCATGAATGGTTAGCTAGATCACAGATTTTTATTTGCTTATCATGCTCTCTAAGTTTTTATTTTATTCTATATTATTTTTCGGACCGTCTTGGATTTGAGGTAGCCAGTATTTATGAGTGCTTTGTTCTACTTTCGTGTTATGCTGGTGTACCTTACTAAAATAGTATCGTGTCAACACGATCAACCTCTGTATTCCACACATGCATGGTGATCAACTCGATTGAGTGTGTATATTCTCTAGCTAAGGGTCACATTTAATATGAATCGTAGCCTTTTTAGAAACGAAATAGTATAAAAATGCATATTGGTTACTCCCAATGCATTTTTTCCATTTCAATTCAGTTGATTGCGTTTATTTGGTGGACAGAAGATAATCATTGTTGATTGATAAGCTTGTTAAAGCACGGAGCTTATATGCTACCACTAAAAATCATTATTCCAATGTTTTCTTAGAGAAGTCTTAATATATTTAATAGAGAGAATTTTTGCTTTTGTCTTTGAAGCATGAATTTGTATGCCTTCATAATAACCGTTCCATTTTTAGAGTTTCAATTCTTTAAATCAATATAATGGTCATTGCAATTGTAGGTATTACGTAACACATATGTCAAAAAAATATGAAAATTTACAAATGTGAATCTTGTAAATGTACAAATTTTAGGATTATGAGTCATCGGCTTATAATCTATGAGTGTGAATAATATTATTCTATTCTATTATGACTGATTTTACTTATATGGAGTGTACGGGTTTTTTTACATTTATGTACAGAATAAACTACTTGATGGATTGTCATTTGTTTAATATACTTCTGAAATTGTTGCATGTTTTTTAGAGATTACTATAAGACTAAAAACAATTATCTAAGAAATCATGAATTCCATATAGAATTATAGCCAGTATTTAAGCTTGTAACAGGAAGAGTCTTGCTTGTGGTGGTTGCTTTTTTGGAATTGATAGTTTTTATTTGGTTTAATTCCTAGACATTCCTAGAAGTGCACACTTCAATGTCTTATTTTGAAGTTTTTTCTATATATTATGATTGATATGCACTTGGATATTGACCTGTTGATGCTATTACTGATGTGAATCCTTAAAGTGCATATGACACGAAAAAATATTAATGTTAAAAATGTGTATTTTATTGGCATTAATAAGAATATCACATTTGAATTTGTTTCAAAAACGTATTTCTCTAGAAATTCAAGAAAATTTAGCACAAGTTGTGAYGTCATTTTGTTTACAAGTCTCCAGATTTAGCTACAAATACACGAAATATGTTTGAATGTAGAATCTTAATTTCAGGTAGTACACTTTTCAGTTCCCCAAMATTTGAAGAGTACTACGTAAGCTATCAAATGAAGCTGAATAAAATATGCCTATTGTTGTTATTTTATACGAATTACAATTTATATTTTGTGCATTACTACCCAATCTAGAGTACGTGTCAACAAAATGACATCACAAGTTTGGCTAACTTTTCTTACATATCTCAAGAAATAAGCTTTTGAAACAAATTTTATTACCATATATTCATTATTATTAACAAACTATACATTTTAAACGATGAAATGTTTTCGTGTCATATACACTTTAAGAAATGAAAAAAATACTTTACCACAAGTTGTGCTCATATTTTTTAAGTAAAGAAATGATTGAATAGTATATATATTTGGAGGAAACCAGCCAGCACTTAAAAAACTTGTAGGCACACGCTGCATGACCTAATAATGAAATGGTTGATATCTCATCTATTAACACTGCTGAAAGGAGGTCAATACTCCTTAAGGCTATGGCATCTATGACTCCTAAATTTCCCTCGCTTTACAGTACTAATATATTTACTATATTTATATATACTATATATTTTCAATCATTCCCAAGAGAATTAATTAACAATAGACACGGTGGCCATGTCGGAGGATATAACAAAAGAATTCATTGACAATTCTTTTGTTAAATTCCTCCAACATGGCCACCATGAAAAACAATAGCAACAACCCTTTCACCGAGCAGCTCATTTTGGAGGACAAAAAAAATGGATTTCAATTCTAATTTTAGATTGAAATTCTATTGTTTTGTTCTCCAAATTGAGCTAAAACTGCCCTTTGTTTTATCATACCACAAAAATGTGGTATGCACATTTCTAATTTTCCCTCCCTTTGAAGTATTATTGTGTAGTATGTATATATTACTCTGTTGCCATTGCATACATTAACACTGGGCACTTCTAGCAAATATTTAGAAATTAATCCTTGAGCCCAAATGGGCTATTGACTAATTGCTTTAGTCAAATCTAACTAGTCAGTCAAATACATAGATGAAAACAAGTTTTGAATTAAAGTTGAATTTATTTTTTGGTTTTCAAAGCTGGCACTTTTCATTACTAGGATATAAATTGTAGCCTAGTAGTAGCTATTCCAATCAGAATGCACCATTGATGATTGACCACTAGTTGGATTTGACTAAGACTTAGGCCTAGGGCAAACGTCGAACTTTCCATGCACTGAACTCATTAAAAAAAATGGATATCAGGTGATAATGAGGCAGCAAGTTCGGTGCATGGAAAGTTCGATGTTTGCCCTAGGCCTAAAGTTATTATTCTCCAAAAATGCAGGGCATGAATAGACTATTCCATGTTTAAATAATTAAAGGCATGTATAATCGGTTAGTGGTTTAGGTCAATGTCGGGAGTCTTTTTGCCCAATATGAGTCCTTAGCTAGTATGTAGACTTGTTGAGTATAGTTGAATTTATTGATACCATATGGAATTAGAGTGCATGCACTAAAACCATGAACATTAAATAGTACTAATTAGTACTATTTCATACAGAATCCTTTGTTTTCTATTGTTTAATTATCACTATTTAGTGCTAAAAATTAGTATTTGTTTCACAGATTTAGTGTGAGCACTCTATATCAAATTCAAGGATAATTGAAGTTAACAAAAACAGACTGTGGTACAGGGATCATGTCACCCTGGCTTAATGCTGATTGATTTGATATTAATGCGAGGATCGAAGTGGTTGGAATGCAAATTAACTTGTTCCAGAATTTGTTTATTATGCAGGACAGCAAATATTGGTGCTGCATGGCTTTTTTTTATGATTAAAACAAACATTAATAAACTAGCAGCATTTTTGTCATTATACAGGGTCCATTTAATTGTCAAACAACATGTCCAACTCGTGATGTAAGCCCTGTATGTGGAACTGACTTTAAAACATATCCCAGTCGCTGCCATCTACAGAAAGAAAAATGCAGAGGACACAAAGTTCGGATGATCCGCAAGGGAAGATGTAAAGGTTTGTAACATCAAGATTCTTCTTAAATCCTTCACATCCCAACTTCATTTTGTCTCTATCTTGGGGGTCAAAAAGTCACTTGAAATAAGTGTTTGTAGTAGACATCATTATAAAATTCATAAGTACAGAAGTGTCTAGTTGCATGTTTTTGTTTTACTCTACTATCACACAGTTAACCTGTAAAAACCATAGACATTTTTTAACACGGTAGGCTTGCTTGAAAGAACAAAAACAATTTGACCGTCTAGCCTACCATCGCATTCAAGCAATTCGGAATGAGTTTCCATGAGGCTTAATCACCCTCGTGGGAATAATTATGGATTCTGCGTGACAAAAGTCTTTAGATCCAGTTATTATTATTTTGTTTATAATTGGCATCTACATAGTTRCTTAAAAATTTATATCGGTCACCATTTATTTTTTGTGTCATGTTTTTAACTGAGTAATGACGTCTTCTAAGAGCCACTTGTAGTACCTTGTTGTACATACTAATGAAAATGTCCGTCCTACACACACGTCCTTGTCTGGTATGAAAATGCAGATTAAAAATAATAAAAGACGTGGCACAAATAAACTATTCACAAATATTAACTACAAAATTCCCAGCTAAATAATTATAATGTTTGGTGAAAAATATATGTATGTTTGATGTTTAATACTCCAATGTACGTAATTCATTGTTTCGACTAGAGGAAAATAGTAAACAGCCAAAATACACGCAATGTTGCTTGCAATTGATGTTGCGAGCCATCACATACGACGCAATTCGTTGCACGCAACGTTACTGAAGTAGAAAACTATCCTACTTCAGCAACATTGCCTGCGGAAAGAATTTGTACATAATGAATTGCTCTTCTGAGTTTTCACTTGGAAAACATGCAGGGTGTCCAAAACTCACTATATTCAGTAAAGTGTTTAAAAGCATCTAGTTTATACGCTAAATGTTAAACGTTAACAAATTCGTGAATAATTAATGACCTTAGAACAATACAAGATCACTACCGTGAAGGCAATTCGTCCTGATTTGCATAAGGTTGACTTTGAAATATCTCGGCCAAATTACATTTAATGTTAAAAATTTTACTTTAAAAAAGAAGCATTAATCTAGACATTTTTAAAGTAATGTAGATCTGTATGAGATTTAAAACAGCTCGACTAATGCAACCAATAAACTTAAATTATAGTACAAAATCAGTGCACAGAAGCAAGACAACGGGCTTTGCTCATCATCAAAAAGAGAGAGCTTCTCCCCTTAGGAGTCTTCATCCCAAAGTGTGATCCAGATGGGAGTTTTAGTCAAGTTCAATGTCAGAAAGCCTCTAGAGTCTGCTGGTGTGTGGACGCCCTTGGCCAGGAGTTGGCGGGGACACGTGTAAGGCAAAATACACCAAATTGTCCAAGTATGTCTATAACGTTGCGACAATGTTTTTCTGTTGGAAACACAATATAAAGTACAATGCATGCATCCATATATATATATATATATACACAGCCATTTGCAAAAATTATGGCCGTTTCAAATATAAATATAAGTATGTCGAAAGTATATCAGACACGGCGGGATATCTTTCTTGATATTTTTTTCAGAAAGCCCTAGTGATAGACAACTCGAAAAAAATATCAGGGAGGATATCCCATCATTTTTGACACGCTTTTGATATACTTGTATATATATTGGAAGCGGCCATAAATTTTGCAAAAGGCAATATATATATTTATTTATTATATAGTTAGGATAGTACGCGCACGCTGATTGGTCAAAAACTGTGCTTTATTAGTGAACGGAGCACAGTACTGACATCTGCGCGTGCGAAGTGCTGCTAGATCCTGCGACCGTCTATCTTCTTACCTAACTAAATTCAATACCGAAAAAAAATAGTAACTATATAATCAAGCGAATAAAATAGCTTTTTCCTTGCTCCGTTCAGTAATAAAGCACTTTAGTGGCTTCTCCCGTTTCGAAACCATTTGAGTGTGGTATTTAGGGTCGGTGTCAAGGCCACTGCAGTAACTTAGCGCCGTAGGACCTGATTTGTAGCTGGATTTCTTCCAATTAACTTTGTTATCATTGTTATTTTAGCTCCCTCGCCAAGTACCACGACCAAGTCACCATGGAAATTCAAGCATCTACAGAACTATAAAGGTGAGCTGTTTATCATCACCTGGGCATGTGATCGTTGGTCATCAAGAGTCTAGCAATTCGGTCCAACTTTTTTATCGGTTAGTTAATCAGTGGTCTTTGACTGTATACTCATCATCTACGACTGTGATATTTAGAGGTTTGTAACATAAGAACAAATGGGTCAGCGTCACTGACGGGGAAGTATTTTTCTTTGCATGCGCGAGTGTAAAATTTGACCAGGCGAAAAGTGCCTATCCAGATCTGTTCTACTAGGCGGCGCTTGAGAAGTTGAATATAACGAGAGGAAAATAAATACTAAATAAATAAATCACTAAAAAGATCTGAATCTGATAAAAATTGGATTGAATGAAAAAGAAAAATCTTATTTAGATAAGATGGGAACCCTAAAATGTATATGGCAACCTCTAGTTTTAAACGTGGCATTCAGTAACGGAAGTAAATTGTCTACTTCTAATGAAGCTGGTGCTAAGTCATCGGTATTTTATTTTAAACATATAAGTGTGGTTTTAAAAATGCACTTCCCTATTTTCCCTAAAATAGGTCTCTATAAACCTATGTATTCGAATTGACACGAACTGTCCAATTACAGCTCTAGATTTTATCAAAATCACTGGATTTGGCTTTCGTACCAACCAGCAACTATGCAGGCTTTGGCTATGTGCAGTCTTTTTCTTCGTTCAAGCAATAGTTGCTCCTCAGAAAAGCAAGCCCACTTTAACACACAAACAATAAACAGCCATATAGAGTACAAAGATAAGAAATGCTCAATTAAATTTGTTTTGTTTTGTTAAGGATGTCCAAAAGATGTTCGCAAGACGTTCAATGCAAAAGTTGTCAGCATGCTGGGAAAGGAATTCGCAGCATACATGGGGAGGACCTCTCCAACTCAAAGAATTTCAGGTAATCAGTCCATTACTACAACCGCTTCTTTGCTGTATAATTGAATTACTTGTAATGATACACCGCTCAGTTGAACTGAGTTTATCGTCATTTACAGCTGGCCCATGTGCACAAATATCAGTCCCGCGGACAAGACATCCCTGTAAACTGACAATCAAGAACATCTAGCTACTCAAATCACATACGACAACGAGCGAGTTTGGGAATCGAATCCGTTCTTGCCATTGCGCTGACCTTGCTTTGCTTAGAAGCTATTGGTTCAGAGATGTACTCCTAAGTTCTGGACAAAAACGCTGAAAAGCATAATAAAAAAAAACAAGCAACTCTACTTACAAATGACAATGAGTATGTGAATCGCACCCGCTTCGTCACCGGGCCGTGCTTCCCAACCATGGCTCTTTTTTGTAGCACAGAGCAAAGCATATAATTCAATAAAAACAAAAGAGAATACATTGGAATTTAATACACAAGAACAACATTAAACAACCTAAATTTTGCCCGTGGAATGTTGTTTTGAGGAATAACATATATGCATTTTTTTGAATTTATTTTTTAGCTTTATCCGGAAAGAGTGGCATTGGAAAAGTTCACATTTTGATGTGGAAATTCAATCAATTGGACGCGAATGCCAACTACTTTCTGGAATGGCGAGAATTGCACGAACTGCTTCGTACCACCAAAAAGTCCATACATCCAAAGAAGTGTAGTAAAACGTTTGTAGCGTACTGTGACGAAAATACAGACAACAGAATATCAAGGAATGAATGGTATGCGTGCTTTGGGGTGCAAGGTGAGCCAGATTTTAAATGTGTCAGATTTTCCATCTTTTACGGTTAACCTCAATAAGCATTCTATGTTTATAGATAAAATATCTTTTGGTTCAGCTCAAAAGTTGTAAAGTAGTCGACTCTAGTGGTCTGTTTTTGTAGTGTACTTTTCCTAAGTGATTCAGTCCACCCGAGCCCCGAGCCCCGAGCCATAATTTTCCTGATAGTCTTCTCATCATGAGACTAAGATCTCACGCCATAAATATATAGGGGGTAATGCCCCATGTTACGACTTTGCAATGAGTGAGCGTCGGAAGCGAACCTGCCTGGAAAGGTCAGCTCCAATGGCATTTGTCGAATAGTATCATTGTTGTTTTAACGAAAAATAATAACAATATCTATAATAAGAAGTCTCGAGTATGCATGGTCTTTTTCTAGATCTGCGGTGTACTTTGCCAAAGTGATACAGCCTACCTGAACCATAATTACGCACTACCACCCTACTAGTCGTCTCATCGACTAAGAAAATAAGTGACTAAGATATATAGATCCTACACTGAGTTTCAACAAAAGATTGGGAATGTATAGGGGGTACTGTCTCATATTTAACAATTATTCACCGAAGGCGAATTGAATATTGGGGAATATCTACCAAGCCGCGAGTCTTCGAACGACATTAAAAAAAAAATTTTTTTTGACTCTGCCAGCAGAACACATAATAGGCAAATGGCGTGTGTGTTATATTCACTTGTGGGTCACTGCATGAATATGACAGAATAAGACGTAAATTGTGACCAATGAGCGTGCGAGATTTATTATATTCACTTGTGTAAAAATACAAATAAGTCCTAATTTGCGATGAGTGAGACATGATATAATCGCCTTCACCCATTTATTTTTAGTCGTGACCCGGTGCAGTCGCACAAAAGACTTCAAACTGGAGGGATTAGATAATAAACGAGGCTGAGAACCTGCCTGGACAGGAATCAGGGTCGTGTTGATTGATCGGCTAGCCGAACAGTAGTATCTTTATTGCTTAAAATAACTTTTGAATTCCAACCTCCAAATTCAAGTACTTTTAATGCCCTATTGACCAGACTTACAAGTGACTAGCGATAACTTTTTGTTTGCTGTCATCAGTGCTCCCAAGCTTGCAAAAAAGCAACCTTTCTGCACTTAAAAACAGAACCTACAAATTACCGCCAGACGTAGAATAAGTGCCAGCAAAGTTATATAACCCGAATAACCTGTCCTAAAATTAATATTTCTTGACAGATGTAACTGTAATTCAGGTCTCAATAATGTGGTCTGTAACACTCACTCTGAGACAAGAAGGGCGGGCAAGCAAATGACAAGACTTTGGACATAATCGTATACTTCAGATTCTATGTGTATCTATAACGTTACGCCACTTGAAACTGTAAAAATAGTTGATACGAGTTCTAGTGAGTCTAGCCTTAACTGTGAGACACAAGCAAAGATATTAGGTCAACACATATTTTCTTCCCGGCCCCAAACGGCATACATGTCCACCGGCACGTCTGTTTTCATCAATTCCTGCATTTCACTTTGCCTTTTGCAAAAATTCTTTCACTAACAACACAAGTACTCACTTTTAATTAGCTCTTTTTCTCTAATTCTCGAGAATACGTATTTTGCTTGTCAATTCGTGAAGTTTGCCATTAAAGGAGATGCTCAAACTAGACGATGGCCAACGCATCCTGGCAAAAGCTAGTACCAAACATAGCCTAAACATGATAAGAAAGATTGCCTTACCGTATCTTCACAATCGGCACTCCCGACATCAATTAGTGTGGATGGCTTTGTTATCGCTTTTTAGATATTTTACGTTAGGTGACTTATCTCAGTCATCTGCAGATCAACAGAGTAATTGTGCGAGTAAGTTTTGCACCACTTTTTCTCTCACTCAAACTATTCGACCAACCTCAAAGCAATACTCGAGTGTACATAATTAGTCTCTTTCTTTATAAACTTATTTGCTTTTAAACGGAGACAAAATTCTTAACGAATATGTAGTTGAGTTTTAACGAATGTTTATAGCACTTTGAGATTTGATGTATTCCAGGAAAAGAAAAACTAGGTCCAATGTAACAAGTATATTTTTTCATTCCCCATCCCTTCCGTTTGATGTCACATAGCTCAGTTGCTTAAGCTATGTTGGCTAGTGCGCGCGGTCTTCGGAGCTAGAGTTCCCTTGTTCCATCCTCCGGATCTCCTCGTCTGTTTCGACCTCTCTCTGAGAATGTCTGAGAAATCTATGGTTCCGTTTTCTTTTGGGAGTATTTTTTACCTATTTCAATCCTTTTGGGAGCGTGCTTCTTTGTTTGGTTTGATTTCACGTTAATATGAATGTTACGTTATATGGAAAAAAGCTACAAAGTATATATATTGAACGATCCACTGAACGATGGTTTGAGTATAGCAGAATACGGTGTCCCCTCAGACCTGTAACCATACGTACTGTTTGTGGTTACTTAAGCCAAATCGGTAAAAGATTAACGCCAATAACTTAATCTATCTACATGTACAAACCGCAAAACCTCATGAATTCGAACATTACATGGTATCGAGTCGTACTAAGGAAAATTCATTTGGCGTCTTTTTCGCTTGTTAAAGTAAAAAGTGTTAGGAAAATGTGTATTGAAAATTATCAGTATTGTTATGGTGTACCCTGTCTAATAAAAGTTGTTATTATTAATGATCATTTTCATTTTTTGTTTTGTTTTGTTTTGTTTTTTGTTTTTTGTTTTTTGTTTTGTTTTGTTTTGTTTTTTTCTTTCTTGATGCATAAAAAGACAACTGACGACTGATGAAGCGCGCTTAAAACAGCCCCAGAATGAAACGTCTTTCTACTACTCAGGAAAGACTAATACAAAAGAAATAATACTAAAAGGAATGACGTAGTTTGTTATTTACTTGAAAGTAGTGTTCTCATCATTATCCATATTATTTTTTTTAGAAATAAAAAAGTGTATTGGAGAATACTTGACAGCTGTAAAATTGTCGCAAAATTCCCCGTCCGGGAAGCATTTTTTACCTAGATGCCAAAGCGATGGTTCTTATGTCCCCAAACAGTGTAGTTCGTCTATTGGTTATTGCTGGTGCGTAAATGTCGACACAGGAAAACCAACAACAGCAAGTACTAAAGATACCACATCTCTTGATTGTCAAAGATATGGTATGTAACTATCTAAATACTTTATTCTGTTAAAAACACTCATTTGAATGGACAGATTTATGATGGTAATTGAACTGAGTGGAGTGCAATTTGTTCTCCAAAATTGCACGACACGAAGTTCAATTACCACTTAATCATATCCTTTTTGTAATCATACACAAGAAAAAGACACAATAAAGAGTGCAGAATAATCAATTTAATGTAGTAGAAGAACTAAATGCAAACAAACAAAAAAAACATCTAAAAAATTTTTTTTGGTTGATTTTTTTGTCTTATTTTGTTCTATTTTATTGTTTAAAAAAAAAATTTTTAGGATGCGATTAAGAGCTCCTAAGGATGCGATTTGGGAATTAATCGCCCTCCTTTCAACTAATCAGATTGCAGGATTTGGTAGTAATTACAAAAAGGATATGATTAAGGTGTGAACGTGATCATCTTTATGGCTAGCGTCTTCATAAGGCCCGAAACTCATAAAAACGTAACCCTGTTGAGGACACAAGCCTTGAAGACGTGCTGACCTCTTAGCTTTTTATCATTCTTTATTCTTTTTGTTGTTGTTCCGACTATCACAAATCACCAATTTGAAACATTAACGCGCGGTCAACGTAAATGTTGCTTTACTTCATTCCCATCATTTATGTTTTATGCCGACGCAGCTCGACTAGTTTTCTCGTTCTATCTTGGTTTATCAATCTAGTTTGTTATTTTTATTATTTTTTATGTTATTTTATTACTTTTATATTTTGATAGCAACGTCAAGAAGGGGAGGCTCAGTCTCAAGAAAGAAAGGAGCGAAAAAAGGTATGACACAGTCCTTCACTATCTGCAATAAAGGCTTTGCATCCTCACCTGATAACAGCCATTACCGGAGGCAAAACAATAGAGTATTTTTCGCATGGAAAACTAAATTCTTTCTTATGTAGATAAGATTGGACCAAATTAACTTAGTGTTTCTGCCTCCCATCATGTCTGCCATCACATGATGTAAGGCATCTATATTGATTTTTAAAAGCGTGCATCAATTAGACATCAATTTTTTTCATAAAGTTGTGTGTGCGGTGTGTACTTATTCATTTGATCTCAAGAGGGTTCCGGCACTAATTACCTTATAGACGGTCTTTTTTTAATTCAGCGCACTTCGTAGTCGACACCATCAATTTTGCAATCTTTTTACTGATCTATTTACTGAAAATCAACTGATCGATTTTTTAAAAACTCATGAGAATTCATATTGAATTGGTTGAGCGGGTCTGGAAAACGTTCCTTTAAATTACGATAATTAGTATAGGAAATCGCACAATCTTGAATACAATTTGGAAATTAATAGACATGAGTAATGTTTTGAAAGTTCTCGTAATTGCACGAGCCTTTAGGCGAGTGCAATTAAACAACTTTCAAAACATTACGAGTGTCTATTAATTTCAAATTGTACGAGAAGATCGTGCGATTTTTTGTTTATAGTTCACTCAACAAAATTTCAGTAAAAAATGCGAAGCGACGCCGTTCATCTTTGTCTATTTGGCGGCCGATTTTCAGTCCATCGCGCAACTGAAATGCATAAAAAAGATTAGTTCTTACGGCTTTAAAATTTTATTTATATGTTTTTTAAGTACAAAATGATAGAAAATAATTGTTTTGAAATTGTTTTGGCCGTGTTGCCATAGCGACTTAATTCGGTACTCCTACGGAGTACAATTAACGCTATAATTGTACTCCTCTCGACCAATCAGAGTCGAGTAATTTTGTTGAGTGTACTATAAACGTAGAAACGAGACGAACAGTGGGTCACATATTTCGAAACTAAACAAAACTGAACAGAAAAGGTGAAAGGGAAATTGGAAAGCACTTAATACCATCTGCCGAGATGATAGAAGATGCTGCGATGTCTTATGAACGACAACATTTTGCTAAACAACTCACCGTTTGTCTTGTTTTGCTGTTCATTAACATGATTTATTCAATATGGCTGAGGAACCATGAAGGGGATTATTGCTGCAATAAGTCCATAGTCGTTCCGATTCAACATGCAAATAATTGTACTTTCTCTCTGTTCCTCTAGAATGTACCGGAGACATCCTGCCTAACTTTATACGACAGTTGCTAACACTGTTCAGAAAAGAGGTTGCTGATGGTGCCTTAACGGGACCGCTCGGTAAGTAACTACCGTGACTAGTCTAACTTTGATGCTTTCCGTGTTACACAGGCAATGTTCCTTGCCACTTGTCTCTCAATGTTGTTGCCAAACAAGTTGGGCAAAAAATTGCTGGTGCCTTTTGTGTCACAATTATGCTGCGGCGTTTCTCAAACGCTACTAGAAGTAGAATTGACATTCTTTTCGCAACGATTGCGGCAACAAGTTTGTTACATTGCCTGCAACCTGTCTAGAAACGATGGCCAATTAATATTTTATCGGAATGTGCGATACCCTGTCTGAGTAACAACTACAACGTGACAAATTGCAAGAAGCATTGCCTAGTGTCACCACTACTGTCCTTTACGTTTGCCATTTTTTTTTGGTGACAGCTTTCATATGAGAAAAAAATCTTTATATCTTACACCATCTTTAAATCTAATAATACTGAAATAATCAACGGATTGAACGTGTTGTCCACTTGAGGCAACGTATTTTCTGAACTACAGCAACTCGACCACATGCGATTGTTGCTTGTTGCGCGACGGGTTTGTTGGACCTCTTGCTTCATTCAAGGGATTTTCCTTCTGCAAGATCCCAATTCGACCTTTGATCATTATTTAGTCAAGCCCTGACTTCGACCAGCCCAAAGGTCGTACGCTGCTATTGTTTTGGTTTACGACATCGGTCCTCAACTAATAGAGGCTTTGCACCATCACGTGCGCAGGATTTGTGATAAGTCATTAGCTTTAGACTCATTTGATTTCTTTCTAGAAATGATGATAAAAATTCAGCGGATAGCTCGTTCAGGTAACCTTGGAGCCTGGGGTGCCTTTTTATCTGATAATCAAGTCCTTGCATGGAAATTCCATCAATTAGACACCAACAAAAACCGCGTTATTACAAACGCTGAATACTTCATTCCTACCATGAGAAAAATGCTTGGCAAGATCAAACGAGGAAGAAAATGCAGCAGAAAGCTTTTAAGTGAATGTGACTTTGACAATGATGGAGGTTTGTCATTGGTTGAGTGGAGTTATTGCTTACGGGTGGGGTATAGCAGGCTAATGAGGTAATGAGTGCAAAGAATTTTCCAAGTCATAAATGTTAGCGAATGGTACCTTGGTACAATGTAAATTGCAATGTCGATTTCTTGTATCATGACCTTTTATTCTTAACTTTTGTCGGATTTATGATCATTTACTTTCACCATATTTCACTAATTCTATGACTTGGAAAATGGCTATGGGATCTTCCAGCTGCTGATTGATTGATTTGGTACAAACAAAGTTGTCAAATGAACATTACTACAAGAACAAACTATAACTAAGGCTGCAACATATGCAACTTATGGCAAAAAAAGTAAAGATATAATGGGGGACTAATCGCATTCCAAGGAACAAAATGACAAAAAGAAAACGATTTCAATAGTTATTTGAGCACTTTTCTTTGAATAATTTATGAATGAAGCAAAGAAGAAAACAAAATCAACTCAAACACAAAGCTGATTTAGATTGTTTGTTGATTTAGGCCTGTTTTTTACTAGTGATGCAAGCATGAGCAACAGGTGCTAGCAAAGATTTTCTTTGTTGTTGTATTGTTTGGCTGCAACTACTCAAAAGCCCTCAAGATTCGTGGGAAGCATGGGTGGTGTAGCTGTGGGAATGCTCGCCTCTCACCAATGTAACCCAGGTTCGATTCTTGGACTCCTCATATGTGAGTAGTTGTTTGTTGGTTCTCTCCCATGCTTCAAAGGTTTTTCACTGGGTTCTCTAGTTTCCCTTGCCTCAAAGATAACCATCACAATGCTATGTTTCTAAACACAAACTAGTGCTATATTTGAGTGGAAAAAAAAACATTTACTCAACCTTATAGTACGATTTTTGGTTGTGTGTAATGTTATGCTTGCATTGCTGGTAAAAACCAAGCTTTAGAAATCTAAGATTATGTATAATTATAATACCATCAATCTCGAGATTTGCGAAAAACTCTAAAAATTCCCAGATTAAAATCCATCCATTGATAAATATTAGTATTATCTTAAAAACAATTATTAATTGGATTATTACAATAATTATTATGGAACAGTTTTAAAATATTAGAGATGCATTATTTATCAGCGGTGGAGTCTGTATTTAAAACATATTTGCCTTATATAGGATCGAGGAGAAAAGGTTTTATAATACAGACCAACAAGAGCTGGTATTTTTTCACCTATTTCTCAAATGTTGTACATTTGTTATGCTTTTAGCTTATTGTGATCAACCTACACCTTATCCTAAGGTGTTGGTACAGTAAGTGGTTACAACATCTTACAGATACATTACTGACAACTAATAAAAACCTTACCCTTACTGTAAGTTAAATGGCGCCGTATTAGCAACCACTTACTGACCACCTACCAACACCTTACCAACCACTTACACTACTGACCACTTACCAACACCTACCAAGCACTTACTATTACTGACCACCAACCAATGCCTACCAACCTACCAACACTATACCAACCATTGACCACCTACCAACACCTTACCAGTACTGATGACCTACTGTACCAACACCTTACCTGTACTGACAACCTACCAACACCTTACCACTTACTGGTGTACCTTCCTGTATGTTGCAGGTTAATCATAACCACAGTATTTTTGGTTTAGTTTATATTTTAAGCCTGGGAAAAATAAACTTGTTTATAACAATCTTGCTAATTAAAAATGAACTTAAATAACACATCACACTCTATGATTTGCATATTTAGATTTGTACTTTATTCACTCCCACAAATTCTGTTACAAAATAATTTAAGTCATATATATAATACATTCTTAATTGAGGATTTATTTCAAACTTAGTAATAAAACATTATAATAAACACTAAAGATTGTGCTGTGTCATAGTGACCAACCTTGCTAGAGTTACCACTGAGGGTTACCCCTGGGCTGGATGCGGAAGGCTTGTTAAATATTCTCAGTCTAGGAAAGGGTACATATGCCTACATCATTGGTTAAATTCACATTTGAGACTATAGTGAGCACTTATAAACGTAAAATATAAAAAATCATAAATTGACTACTTGGACGATGCGACAGCCCAACATATTTATTAAATCTATGGTTGATAAGACAAATTATTATGAATGTGACAACAACCAACAAGGAACTATTTGATATTTGATAAATTTACTCAGTTGTGGAACTGTTCACTAATTTTAATTCATCAGTTGTTAAATTGTCTTATTGCAAACCATAAATGTCAATTGACGCCATTTATGTAACAAAGCTTCATAGTTTCGTTGAAGTAGTCCATTCTATAAGTCTAGCATCTAAAATATTGCAACTAAACTTTAGGTATTCTTTTCGCTGTCATTTGAAACTTCACTGACGTGTTGCAAGGTGCTGCTTGCTGGCTGAGCATGAAGTGCCATTAGCAAATCAAGCTGTTTCCGGACACCATTGGATCTACAACAAAAACTTATTTGTCAAATGCAATCCATAAGAAATAACAGCTACTGTAATTTTATGAAATATCACAGTTATAACTGAGGGTATAGTGTTAAAGTGCTACTCGGACGAAAATCGCTCAAACTGGATTCAGCTGAAGCTTCCTAAGAATACTCTTTAAAGGTCCAATAATCACTGTATGAAGTGTTTTCTCGATATTCAGGACGAAAGTATGATATTTTTATGATTATTTTTTGGAGTCTGAGACGTCATACACTCAACATCGAACATTGCTCCATATATTTCTTTGTAGTAAAGTAGTAGTAAAGTAGTAGTAAAGCCGAGAAAGAAATACCCAAACACCCCAAAATATAAATTATAGTCACAAGTAATGTGAAATAAGCACATTAACCACCCTTTGGGCTTCATAGGAATAAARTAAATTAAGGATTTATATACAAAGAAATRTATGTAGCAATGTTTGATGTTGAGTGTATGACGTCACAGACTCTAAAACATAAAAATATAAAAAATATCATACTTTCGTCCTGAATATCGAGAAAACACTTCATACAGTGATTATTGGACCTTTAAAGAGTATTTTTAGGAAGTTTCAGCTGAATCCAAATTTGAGCGATTTTCATCAGAGTAGCACTTTAACAGTCATAACATATGATTGGGATCAGATACTGTAGCTTTTAAGGAAAGAGGTTATAATCTAGGATTGCAATCCAAGAAAGTGAGATATTTTCTTTGCTGAGACCTCTAAAGATTTAGTTAAATTCTTCCTGATAGTATTGATAAGGTTAAAATCCTTTTGAAACATATTTCACCCACTTAAAACGACTCAATTGCAATTGTAAGTGTGTGAAAGATGTTTAAAAAGGAATTTAACCTTATCAATACTATCATGACGAATCCAAGTAACCCTAATTTATAATGATGTCAGCAAACAATACATACTATTATTTCATGGGAAAGCCAATATGTGTACTGCATGTCAAAAACTATTGGAGAAATAGCTGCACATTTGTGGTTTTAATCAATTTTAATTCATTCTAATTACTTAAAAGTATACCAATTTTTAAAGCTATGTGCATGTACTTTGCAAATAATATACAACTGTACATCTCCTTTTCCTGGAAATCAATAGCCAGTTTTTGATGTTCTGGTTGTCTGAGTGGTTGACATAAAACATTATGAGTTGAGGCTTCAGGAAAGGGGGGTGGGGAGGGGGGATAAAAATAATATTATTGTGATTTTTTTTTCTCTCTCAGCCTCAACGATTATTTTGTTCTTAATCACTCAACCAGAAGATCGGAAGTTGGCTTTTTCACAAACCTTGCTCTTTCCTTGGATTCAGCATATGCCAAGTTGGCTTTCCGACTTGCCTCTTCAACATGAGCCTTATACTTTTGATGTCTAAAGCTGCAAAATGTTGATTAATAATTCAATCAATGAGTAATACAATTATTGGCAGATGTTGGTGAAATCTAAACTTAGTCGTTAGAAAATACAGTAGAGTTTGTGATTTTCTACACTCTTTCCTATTGGTCAAACAATTGTTAAAATGGTATATTCCATCAAACAGTATGCAGATTTAATATACAATTATTGATGGATGAGCTTGAGTATGACATCATGAATTATCAAGATCAAGGCTGTATTATCTGTCGAAGCTGTAGGCTGAGGCAGATAAAATGTCCTGGAAGGTCTTAGCCTCCTGTGCAGCAGCTGTGAGACATTTTCGGCTCTCGTCATTCCCCAGGAATGCCACTCACAGCAGCTTTGCAGGAGGCTAGTTACTGTAGTTTATGATATCATGCAAAAACTAAATTCAATAATTATTGTTTGTTATACATTTTATACATTTTGTAACTAAGAATAAAGATTTAATTCTGCTTCAAAGAAATAGCAAACATATTTAAATCTCTATTGTGACCTTGAATAAACTTGACATATGATAAATGCAATATCGGCAGGAAAACCTTCAGATATATTCAATTACATGCATCATGTCAAGTTCACAAGATACTGTATGGATTGGCTGAGGACTCTCAATCCACCATTGAGAAGCAAGATAGTGAGTAAAATATATAATAATCCTCATTACCTGAAGATGACATAGTGCACCACAGCTCCAGTGAACATAAAAACAAGAACTCCTGCTACCACATACTTGTTGTAAGGATTTCTCAATGGGGTTTGTCTCACTGGTGTCCTATGAAATTTATTGGATTCATGCCATCTAAACATGGGCAAAAAATTAAAGATCATCACTCAACATAGTACAATATTATTATTGAATAAAACAAAGGTATTGCATATATGTATAGTGATGGTTTTATTAGCAGTGGTGGTGGTAGTAATAATTATGATTGTGGATGGCATTGGTGGCAACCACTGTGGTCCGGGTACTAGCCCTGGCTCAGACTGGATCATATTTGAGTTGAGTTTGTTTGATGTGTTATTCTCTCCTTTGCCACAAGGGTTTTCTCCTGGTTCTCCAAGTTCTCTGGTTTCTCCCTCCATAAAAATCAATATGTGAGTTGAGTGTTGTATGTTGTAATATAAAAAGTAGTGGTAGTGCGTTAATCTCACAGAAGAGCCCCATACAGGGAGTTGTGGTCATAAATATATAAGGTCGTAATGGTATACAGTAGCTAGGGGTGTTCAAAGTAATATTTCAAAGTATATCATGACACCTTGAAGGGGATCATAGAAAATTTTTTGTGTGTAGCCAGTAGTCATGATGTAGGGAGGATTGGGTGGTGCATATTATTAGTGTAGTGGTAGTGGTGGTCACAGTGTTACTCATGGTAACTCTGATAATTTTAGGTGGTGGCTGTGTTGGTGGGAGTGGTGGTTGTAAAGGTAGAAAAATATAATGTACCTGTTGTGGTTATTATAATAGTGTGAAGCATTTCTGAAAAAATATAAATTGTAATATAATCACTTAACCAACCGCATAATGTTCAAAAATTATGTTTCCATAATGCAAAAAACAAACTTGTATAAAATTGCATTGCATAAAAATTTGTTGTTCTGAAAGTCAATTATATAAATTAAAATGTCATACCATGCAATTGGTCATAAAAAAAATTATAAACTTGTCAGGATTATGTAATCATAAGTTACATGTACTACAGTACACGTGAATAATCTGCAATGCATGTTAAGTTGCTAGTAATAAAATTATGACAGTAACATGTCATCCAACTAAACAATCAACATACAGTATGGTTTGCTTAAGCAGTGAGACAATTCACAAACTTGTGCATACCTAGTTCCAAATGGACTTCCAGCAGAATAAGAATAACTACTTGATGGTGCTGAATAACTGTTCAGTTTCATATCATAATTTCTTCTGCTTGTTGGATTGCTGAGAGTGTTGTATGCCGCACTGATCTAAAAACCATCACACCAAATAAAAGTTATCTTAATTTAAGTCACATCATGCAACAAACTTTAGAATATAAAAATTGTAAACACACTATCTCTCCAGACTTTATTACTAATACCTTTACAAATGCTTTATGAAGATCTGGGTCTAAAGGATTAACATCTGGATGAAGCTGTCATAAACGTAACAAAGAATAAAATAATTCATCTTCAAAATTGCTTGGGTATATTTCCATTAGACTCTCCGAAGGCTGCAATTTTCTATGATCAATAAACAGATCATATGTCAGATCAGAGGCATATTTAACCTGTTAAACCCATGAGTGTGACAAGTCAAAATAATGTCCAGCCAAGATGAATCATTTACCAGTATAGTAGTCAAGTGGTCATTTTTATAGGACAATATTTTATCTGATGACTGGCAATTACACTTTAGTTGCAGGGCCTTGTTCTCATTGTTCCTTATTGAGTCTCCAGGTATAGACTAAATGGACCTTAACCTTGGGTGCATAACTGTCAGAGCTACATCTACAGCAGAATGGAGTACTAGCTTCTGAGACAATTTATATATTTTTCACTTTGAGAATCTACATGTATGTACCCTAAAGTCTAATGTCAAATATATAACTCACTTCTTTAGATTTGCTTATAAATGCTTTCTTTATTTCTGCAGTGGTTGCATTTTCAGGTAATCCTAATTCCTCATAATGTGTTTTGGAGTCCTTTGAACTGCAAAGAAAGGAAAAAAGAGAAAATAATCAAGTATCTAATCTTGTATCAGTATGTACATTAATAAAATTAGTCTTAAATAATTGCTAAATATTATGAACAAAATTTGGGGGGATGGAAGGGATTTATTGGAGTATAGAAAATTGAAGTCTGAATGACAGTGACCATGAATATTAGTTCCAAGTTGAGGCTGGAATTTCCATGTAAAGCAAAAGTATACTTATATTATTACTAGAGTATATATTATTCCTGGTCACTGAACGGAACTGTAAAATGGAGTATTGCCATGATTCTTTGTTGGGTCTCATACCCTGGTCCCAGAGGCTCGACGATTTTTCTCCCGGCCACGTATATTTTGAGCCGCGAAGCGGTGAGCTAGTTGCGAAGGAGCGAGTCCTCGTCGGAGCCTCTGGTAGGAACCGCATAGTTGATTGATCAGGCCGCACCAATAGAATTACAGATTGCTCAAAATTGTTCTGGTTCACTGATTGGCTGATTTGAAGTCCAGTTTGTGATTGGCTAAATGATTTGTAATGAAGGGTAGGGAGGTACAAGTATACATTGCTCATTATCTTATGTCAGTTTGTTTGTAATGTCAAGAGATTTCAAGGTGTTATTTTATAGTTCTAGCTACAGTGAACATTTCTCAATGCCACATTGTATATCCGAAGCGCTATTCGACGAAATGTTGTCAACAACACTTGAAAAGCGGTTTGAGAACATTGAAACGTTAACAGAAGAGCAAAAGACAAGGAGAACAAAGGTCATTGACGATACTAACTGAACAGGGTACAGAGGTTAGCTTGATAATTTCACACAATAACCATTGAAAGCCGATTTTAAAATCAATATCCGTTATAGAGTTGGTGAGTGTGTGTAGTCATTTATACGAGTTTCTCCCTTTGACTACCGATAAAATACAATAAAAAATACAATAAATATCTACAAGGCCTAGGCAACTAATCAGTAACACAACGGGCGTCGATCACATCATTATCACGACATGTTGACAGAAATTTGACAGAGCATTTGGTCTTTAACTTTGTAACTTCGTAATTTGTAACGCCAAAAAAAGGAAGCCAAAAAATTCAGAAAGTCCGTTGTGAACGTGAACCTCGGCATTGAGAACAACAGCTAGTTGTTTCACAAGATTTTCATTGCAAAACTTTGGGCCAAAGAGGTGAATTCTTGGTCTTCCAGACGTAATACTACATTTGCAAAGTTGACAGGACTTTGAAGGATGTGAGATTGCGCTTTTCAATGGAGTATTTTTGTTTGAATTTCGTTCACAATTGGTTGCGATTCGTGTTGCTGAATGTAAACACCGGACTGTCACTTTGACATATTTGGAGACGTGTATACATGACAAAAACACTTAGGTGGACTCCGCAAAGTTATTTTGGTCAACTACAACCTCCCTTCCCTAAATACCAAAAAAGCACCACGGGGATCTCTTGTGTGATTGGTTAGTTCTAAATGATTGATTGACACTTTGATTTAACATGGAAATGAGGTTGTATGCGGTTCCTACCAGAGGCTCCGACAAGGACTCGCTGCTTTGCAGCTCACTCTCCGCTTTGTGGCTCAAAATATACGTGGCCGGGAGAAAAATCGTCAAGCCTCTGGGACCAGGGTATGGGTCTCACTGATATGAATTTATTTACTTAAGCATACTAGTAGATAATGAAACAATACTCAAGGGAATGACACATGATCTGAAACAGGAAAAAAGTGTATATACATGTACATGTATATATATAATTGGAACAAGTTTAAATTAGATAGAAATGCCATTATTAAGTTTTGATATTTTTTGTATCAAAATATTGTAAAAAATTAATTTTAACGCTTATATTAATTTTTTCTAAATGCTAACCTGTAAGATCGGGAAGATACACTAGACAGAGGACACTGATATTGAACACTAAAAGGATGGAGTCTCAATCCAAGACATTTTGTTGAAAATGACTGCATGCTGAAACCATACCAACCTGTCTTATGAGAAACAAAAGCAAGATTAGAGTTAAAAATACTAATAGATTCATTCATGTTTTTCTCCACATATAACAATTTTAACGTCGTAATAGAGTGTGAATAACCCAAACTCTGTTGTAAACAACGAAACATTATTACATAACACTCTTCGAAAATTCACAAGATAGGTTCTAAATAAAGGAAGAATAAGTTTTATTTATTAACAGGACATGCTTGGTGTAATTGAGATCAATTCAGGCATCAAAATATCGACGTAGAAGGATATTTTCAGAATAAGAACGAATAAAAAGTTACAAGCTTTATAAGCAATCTTTCCGGAATCTTTTAATCTTCCTGTAGGTTTTATTCTTGCATAAATTACCCGATTGTTTTAAAATTTTAAACACATTAGACAAGGGAAGTATCATGGGTAAATAGCTACATACATAGGTGAAACAGTTCTTGTTTCGTAGAAGAAATTGGGCACAAATAACCACCAAGTTCCTTCTTCACTCATCCGCCATCTTGGATTCTTGATCTCTCCTCGCGCGGTGCTGCCTGGGAACTAGCTATCATGCCGTATCGAAACTTCCTAAAATTCACCAAAATGAAATGAAATATTTTAAATTACTTTCTAGTTAGCAATCCTAAGGGCGTTTAAATCATATTTTAAATAAATTTTTCCCATTTGTCTAGATTGGAAAGAAAATTTTAATACAAACTTTTATGAAGCAGCGCAGTTTGAGCTATAAATACCTGAATTTTGCTGGATATTAAAAAGCGGTGTTAGCTTATGCCGCAAAAATCTTTGAAGGACAAAATCTAAAGAAAATCAAGTTTTCAATAATATTTGCACCGATCCCTCCCCTCCCTCACCATTTTCTAAACATATGATGATGTCATGGTTCCACGTCTCGCTCATGCGCGTTCCTGCCGACACAGATTATAATCCAAGATGGCGGCTTTCAGGTTGTTATTAGTCTGTTCTGTCCTTCTTGTTTTTCCGATATCTTCGGACTCTCTGCCAGAACCTGGAAAACAAGAGATGGTGTTTCCAACGGTAATGTATCTCTGGCTTTATCTTTCATGCGTTTTATCCATTTTTTTTGTCAAAACATATTCGTTTTCGTCGATGCATTTGGGTATTTTGGAAAAGGAAAAGCTATACGTAGCTAGTCGTTTAATCTTAGTATTCTTTTACAGTCTGAGACGCATAAAACATTTTCAAAAGCTTTATACGAGGGAACGACTATTTCTGTTAAAGGTAGGTTTTTTAAAATTATTTTTTATTTTACTAATTAGATAATTTGAAGACGTAGATTAACAAGCTTTTAAAAAAGCTTACATTAACAGTTTAAGGTAAATTTTATAGTTATTAAGCTTATATCTTGAATTTATGAAACTAAATGCTCAAAGTAGAAATACTTGCTTGATATCTTAAATGTCTCCTTTTTTCCCTTTTTCAAATGATGTAAATTGATAGTTGTAAAGACTTATAAGTTAATATCATGTTCACGAGTGTTTACTGTAGGTTCCACGTTAATTTACACCTTCAGGTTTTGAACTATGTTTGGAAACTCCCAAGTTGGTGACTAACTTCGGAACTTCAAAACAAAGTTCATTATGAACTTCAGAACTTCCCGCCAAAGCTTGGAAGTTGGTTTAGTATATATAATTTGAAGTTCCCGAATGAATATCGCAAAGGAAATCCAGAAGCTCCTGTTTGAAAATCAAGTTGGTTTGCTGCAAAATAAGCCAACCAAGTTTTGAACTTTAGCGGGAGGTTTAGAAGCTCATAACAAACTTCGTTTCAAAGTTCCGAAGTTGGTTGCCAACTCGGGAATTAAACTCAAACTTTTTTCTTCCTTTATTTCCCTCTCTTTTGTTTCTTTTCTTTTCTTTAGAGGAGAGGGTCATCAGTAAAAACATAATCTTTTGTGGAGGATCAAACCTTTTTATTTTGACAAAAGCTGTTTCATTAATGACTTGATAGGAGGGTCATAAATTTCTTACTGAATAAGAGGAGGAGGGCTACAACCATCTGCAAATACCCCAGCTCTCCACCTCTTCGATGAAAAACACATCTGCACTTGATAAAGATTATCATGTCAGAAATTAAATTGTTTTATTTGTTTTTCTTATAATACTTGTTATTACAGGAAGTTGTTCTTCTATTGAAGAAAGTACGCCAACGATAAAAATCAGTTGGAAGCTAATATACTCACAGTGTGCTGAACAATTTATGGGATTAACGGTAAAGTTCATTATCAACATATGACAAGTTTTAATGTAAAGCATACAACGTATAACAAAGTGCATGTCCACGATTATATTGGTGGGATACAGAATTGGCCTTATTTTGAAGGTTGTTTCTGGATGCGAGCTAAAAACAGAGCTTAGGATTCTCACTTAGGAGAGCTGGATTTTGGGTTTTTAGGATTCAGGAATTGCGACTCAGGTTAATAGCTGGATACACAGGGTTGCCAATAAAATTTTTGCTAGGCGGTAATGAAATTGAAATAGGCAGTAAACCAGAAATGTAATCAAGATATAGTTGTCACCAGTCTCACTCTTCTCACAAAAATTCTAGATGGCGGACAATGATTGTTGTAGTTTCGATTGTGTTGCAGTATTTCATAGTACAACAACAAAGATTGGGTTAAAATTTATTTTTATTCACACATTTTGCTAGTTTAAAGAACTTTAATCAAGATTTACAATTACATTGGGAAGTGGCTGAGTAGGCAGCTGAGTTGGTGAGAGAATTGGCTGAGTAGGTGGCCGAATTAGCAAGAGTAGACGGCGGAATCTGCCGGTTGCTGCCTTCTATTGGCAACCCTGGATACAGGATTACATGCATAAGTGTTATTTATTACTTCATTAAAAACAATAGCCTCCTACACAGACATCCTTGTGTCTGTCACTTAATGTTTCCCTCTCCACGAACGTCTGCTTACTTGGGCAGAACATTCCTTTCCAAAAATTGATCAGTCAGCATCAGTGAATCTAGAAATTGAATGCATCAGTGCCGTAACATCACATTCTGCTAACATGAATTGCTCCTTTCTTTCTTTGTTCTTTATTATAGGAAAATATGATTAATGTTTATTGGGATAAAACATATAATCATGAAATCCATGGTGAAGACACTGTCATATGTAATAACAATATCCATTTGTCAGTAAGTACAGCTATTATAAAAGTACAGTACTTCAGATGTTGGGAAAGCACTCTTAAAATGCCAAAAATCACTTGCCTACTGCTCTTGATTCTTGACTTTTTCTCATGCTTTCCCACCATCATGTATGTTCACAAATCACAATATAAACAAGGAAAGTGATTCCTAATGCTTGAGTATGATATTACTTTGATCATCTTTCTTTGAAAGAAGTAGGTCTGTTCAGGGCTTAACATGATCAGTCATTGGACAATCAAATCCTTGCCTTGCTGGTCATTTTGAACAAAATGTTAAGCCAGAAACAAGGTGTGACCAAGCTAAAAGTAATTTAGTAGCCTGTAACGGGAACTAACCGGAGCTATTGTTAATTTTTGTATGATAGTCATAATGTTTATTGCTAAAGCTTTTATTATTTTTTCCATTCTATGTATAAAACTTGGATACTGCACCCACCTTAGGTACAGAGGAATCTGTACAGAGATAGAAAATATATCATTAAACAAGGTCAAGTGCTTATTTTTTTGAAACATTTACTTCTATAGGATATGACATCACAAGAAGAATATAATTTCAATGACACTCTGCCTAATGCTGCAAAATTTAAAAAGGTTTGTTGTAATTCTAGTGTGTTACACTTCTATTGTTTTGGTAAATACCAGTATACAGGGTATGCCATGCATACAGTTACCAATAACCTCTGAAAAACTGCTTAAATTGCTTCAGTTTATACTGCCATCTTTTATGATCAGGCATTATACAGGCTTAGCCTGACTTACAAGTTACAATCTATTCTTATCTAGACACAAAGTTGAGTGGCCACAGTTAGGCGCGTTTCCCTGTAAATGATGAATTTGAGAAAAAAAACTATCGTGGCTTCAAGTTGCTTAAGAAAACATGTACTGATGTCTAAAATTTAAGCAACTTAATTCTTAAAATAATTAATTTGGACAGTTTGTTGAGAGTCTTGTTCCAACCCTTGCTATTGTACATTTTGTACAAAAGGTCAAAGAAATAATTGCAAAACCGTTATTTGTTTTTAATATTTGTGTCTTAAGGATAATGATGGAAGTGATCAAGAGGAGGTAGCAAAACCAGTTGATGGAGGAAAGACAGGAAAACCAAATCCAGGTAAAAATGGAACACAAGCAGAAGAGCATAGTGAAAATAACAATGCAACAGATCAGCGCACTGCAGAAATTAGGCAAGAAAGAAGTGCAGAAATGGAGGTGAGATATCTGGGAAAAAATACTGGATAATATAGTATTTGAAATAGTCGTATTCCTTAAATAAATATAATGTATGTAAATGATATGGTAAATAGAACTAATATTTAAATTATTTAGTTAAAATGATAAAGCCTTCTGTAGCTCTTTTACAATTTTGCAACAGATCTTAGGCTATACCTGTATATTGACTTGTCACAAATTTTAGTTCATATGGATTTTGATCAATCCAATGTGGTTGATCATGTCGAATTGATCCAATTTTTCCAAAAACAATGGATTGAGAACTACCATGGTGTGATGAATGCTATAGCCAGCCTTTAGGTTTATTTTTATTCACAAACCCTTTGCATCAATGCACATGCAACAAAAAATCATTCTTTTGAAAGTATGAACTCTCATATCTTAAAGATGTAAAGGTGCTGACACACGTTGCAACATTACATGCAACATAGCAAGCAACAAATTTGAATTGGGGTGACACATTTTGCAACAAAATCATGCAACATCGCTTATGTTGGCCTGCTTTATTAAGATATTTGGTCAGCAGTTATAAATTGGGTGCAAGCTGATTGGCTGGAAATTTCAAAATGTTGCAGGTAATGTTGTGGCCATGTTCACATGATGAAATTTGTTGTGAGCAATGTTGCATGCCATGTTGCACCGTGTGTCAGCACCTTAACAGTCAGTGATTGCTTATCAATTAAATAGGACAAAGAGGTCAAAACCCTTTTACGTGTGAAAAGAGATAATGAGGTAAATGGTGGTGTTCCAGCATCAAATACAAAGAAACAAAGGAAATCAAAGAAAACTAAAAACCAGGTATGTATTATGAGAAGAATGGTGGCTGCTGGGTTCCATTAGTTTGTTTGGCATCAGTTATTATGTACAGTAACATGCCCAAAAATATGGTTAAAAATGATCAATCTGTCAACAAGCTGTCAAAGAACTAATAATAATGTGATAGTAATATTAATAATAATAGTAATAGTAATAATAATAATGATGATTATTATAATAACAATTTTGTTCAAGAACAAAAAGGCCAACTCCTTATGATGTACATAACTTTGATATTGACATTGACACTGTCCAAGGAGCCATTAAGTCTTCTACTTAGATTAACTTTCAAATATGTTAATTTTTTAAAAAAACTTTAACTATTTTTTATATTTTACAAATATGTTTTTATCGATAAATAAGTAATTTGTACATATATTTGKTATTTTATATTCATAATCTCTTTATTAACATTATTATAAATTTTATTATTATTATTATTATTAATAGTTAATTGAATTCTATTATAAAAAATATATATATATTTTATTATAATGGCATTGAGATTATGAACTTTAAATCCTATAGTTTTTCATTTTATTTTTGTTTATCATTATCTTAAAATATTAAGCATTGGAACTTTAGTAGCTTTGGAGCGAGTGTATTTCTATTAAGACATGCATACACTATAAAGGTTTATTTAAATAAAGTATTATTATTATTATACAATAATAATAACAATAGAGTGCACGCACTAAAACCGTGAACATTAATAGTACTAATTAGTACTATTTCATACAGAATCCTTTGTTTTATATTGTTGGAATATCACTATTTAGTGCTAAAAATTAGTATTTGTTTCACGGATTTAGTGTGAGCACTCTAACAATAATTGTAATAATAATAATTTTTGAAATATTTAAAATAATAATAATAATTTTATTCCAAAATACATTACCTTCATTTCTCACTAAGAAAAATAAAACAAGTGTATTTTGTATCTATATAGATAATATATATGATGTATAGATTATCTCTTCATACATCCTACAATAAAAATATAATAATAATGCTAATTATACAGCTTCTTATTAATCCCATATAGGTAACTGTCCAATTATTTTCTTAATTGGACAGGCCTTGTTGATATGGGATTAATTAGGCAGCTATATAATTAATAAGTAATGGGATTTCATGCTCCCCAATTAAGAAATAATTAGACTTGAAAAATTCCTCTGACTGCCAAATTGGACTCGGCCTATGGCCTCATCCAATTTTGGAAGTCCTCGGAATTTTTCTCGTCCAATTATTTCTTAATTGGACAGCATGGAGTCCTATTACATATACTAATTACAAAGTATACAAGCTAAATTAGATGATTAATATATAATAAAATATATTTCATGGGGGAAAAAAAGGATACAATGATATATCTATTTATAATGATAATAATGATAATAATTAAAATCTCCATTTCAAATACTAAAAGAATAGTTGCTAAATAAATTTCAAGATTAAAATGAGCGCAGATAAATATCGGTTTTATATTTACATACACATAAAAAAGCAAACCGATAAAGCCTATTTTATAAAATATGTAAAGCGCATTGAGACAATGTGAAAATGTGCTATATAAGAACCCCATTATTATTTTTATTATTATAAAAAATTAAGTTTTGTTGGTAGTAGCATTATTGAGGGAGAAGTCCATGCTTGTAGTGTCAAGTGTTGTTACAATAATAATGATAAAAACTAAAAGAAAAGAACTAATGATAATAATAGTAATAATAATAACAATGATAATAACGATAACAATAATAATAATAATAATAATAATATCCAGATGGAGCAAATTACTAGTATTACAGCAGCGCTGCCATATTACTGTTGTTCTATGGTAAAGTTTTATTTACTAATAATGTGCGTGAAATCTCACTTGCAAATTAAACCTAAATTTATATTTGGTTAGCAAAAGGATGGTCTGGTCAAACCTTTTGTTTGTTGGCAAATTTGTTTAATTAAAATGGTCAACCATCGATCAAGTGGCCAGTTGACCTCAAGTCCACATCAAATAACATTTGTCATGAATAATTCCTAATCTTTATATTTTTGTATCGGCTCTTATGTTCTAAGCAAAATCAACAGATTCATAAGCATGATAATCCAGAGTTTTGAATGAAAATTAAATACTGGTCAAATGGTCACAGTATTAAGGAAGATATTCCATGCTCTCAGAGCATCGATAACACAGTTCAAAATTGTCCCAGATACTGAATCGCACCAAAAATCACACACGATACAGTGCCTTTGGTATCTTAATGACATATGTGTATACGTACTTCAAATTCAAAATTATTTTGATAAGACCAAAAAATAAAACCTATCACTCAGTTGTGTTGGAAGGTAATCATCATCTAGATTGGCTGGCACCAAAAGTGACGAGGATTTGACAAGCATGAAAAAGGGGCAGTAATTCATTTCTTACAGTATTGTCTACTACAGTCTCTACTTTTCCTCTCCCTTCTCTATACTTACTTGGCTTAAATCTACAGTATGCATGTGCACATTAATCCCAAATTACTCCCCCTTTATGAGTTTGGAGGGAACAATGGGGCTGCTAACAGTCTAGACCTTCTTCGCTAGCTGACCTACATTAATCATTAATTGGTGTTATTGTTCAAGAGAATTTCGATTTGCACTGTATGACCCACCAGGGGAACTATTTAAGTCAAATCCAACTAATGGTCTATCAACAATACTGCATTCTGATTGGATGAGGCTATAAGTTATAGCCTACTAGTGGCAAAAAGTGCCAGCTTTGAAAACCAAAACATTAAATTTAACTTGTTTGCATCTACATATTCGTCTCCAACGAAGGACTAGCGTCCGAAGCGTCAGTTTTTTCATCTTTTCACAGCGTATAATTTACCTTTTTATCATTACCATATATATTTGACCGATTAGTTGGATTTGATTATAACAATTAGTCTTCTCACCCTCATGGCCCAAGTCAATATCCCATCAATCTTTGGCCTCATGGGCTATTGACTCATAGAGGAAGCCCACCAATACGAGAATCAGTCAGACCTTATTATAATGATAGATTTATATGTATTTCTAACTTTATTTTACATGTACTCTTAAAGAAAAAGGAGTCTAATATTCCTAAAACTAAGAAAAACCCAAAATCTAGTGAGGTAAGTTATTGTTTAGCAAAGTATTATTGTCTATGCTTGAAATGTTAAGAAACTGATTTGTCACCTTTGGTCCAAACCTCAGTTGTCCATTTTCAAAAACAGTTTCCTCTAAATCCTCATGCCTTAACATGATATGTTTGAGTGAGTCTTCCAAGACATTGTTTTTTTGTTTTTTTTTAGAAATCAAGACGTATAGCATTGATAAAGCGAGATGGTATCTATATGCTGATAGTAACTGTGATGCCAGTAAAACCAGAGAAAACAAAGGAATCAGAGAAATCATCATTTCATTTGAAGTGTAAGTTGAAACTGCTGAAACTTATGTGAATTTGATAAAACCACAGGAAGCACAGGTGGTGTAGCAGTGAGAGCACTCGCCTTTCACCAGTACAACCCAGGTTTGAGTTGAGTTGTTTGTTGGCCTGTACTTCAAAGGTTTTTCTCCAGGTTTTCTGGTTTTTCTCCCTCTGCAAAAATCAACTAAATTGCAATTCGATCTAGAAAGGGCCTAGATGAAATTACTCTGTAATTCTAGTTCCCCTATCAAATTATGTGGTTTTTTTTTTTTTATAAGCGACTGTGACATGTATTTTGAGGTTGTACAGCTTGTTACCTCAGCGTATTCAGGTACAGCTGTAGCCCCTAGCAACCACTATGCAGCTTTAAGCTATCAAGGTTTCCCTAGCAACTGAGCTTTAGTTTCAAGGTATCAGTGAACCCTTAGCAAGGTATATGTATGTTAGGTATAAGCTGAGAATAATAATAATACTTCTATTTTGTTAATTTGATTTATGACAGTGGAAGTAGCCATGGAAAGCAAATCTGGTTACCTTTCAGCTACTGATTGGCCTCTGTTGCCTGTAAGTATCATTCATTGGAAATAAGTTTGCACTGCAAACTTTATTGTTATTGTTCATTATCACAACCTTAACCCTTTATGCCCCACAGGGTACCATGCTTACTAGCTGCCAAAATCCCAAGTGGTCTTAGCATGACCTTTGGGCTTATCAAAGTCAGGGCACTTCTACAACACAAATTGAATTGGAAGTTAGAGTGTTTGGTTTTTAGGAAAACTGGAGAATCTAGAGAGAAACCCTTGGATCGAGGGAGAAGCCAAAAATGTTTACTCATATGAAATCATACCCCAGACCTCAAAGGTGATTGTTTTGCCCTGACTGCTGTTAAACCCTGCTCATAGTGAGCTCAATTACCAAAATTAGCAGTGTATATGCAAGCTCGATAGCTGCAAGCTGCACTCTGAAGTTTAGTTTTTTGAGCCTGCCTTCAATTCAAAGTAATGCAGTCTGTACCTTTCATATTTTTGACTGGCGGCAGCAAAAAACCAAATTTCATCATGCAATTCGCAGCTACAGAGTTCGCATGCTTATGAAAATATCAGTAATGAATTTTGATGTATTCTTTTCAGTTCTATGGTGTCATGTCATTAGTGTACTTGTTCTATGGAATCATATGGCTCATTGTATCAGCATGCCAGTGGAGAGATCTCTTGCGAATACAGGTAAAATAACTTTGAACTCTAAAATCTCTTGAGGATTGCTAGTGTAAGTGTAGATAACAATAAATCCACCTACTATTTAATAAATAAAGGATGAAATGGAGTACATTTTATCTTTCCATCAAAACAAGCAATACTCATTTACTAGGTTACATGAATACAGTCAATTCAAAAAATCTTGTCGTTGACCAACTCAGTCCTATGCAACTGGACCAAAATGGACTAAGGGTAGGAATCACTGATTCAAGGGTTGACTGCATAATTTTATCTGATTWGTCATGCCTCAGRTTTAMAGAAAWCAAGAAGACATAACTTTWATRCCTTAAATATCTTTGGAATTGGGAACCGAATCAACTGTACTTCTTCGTTCACTTAACCCATTAGACATACATTTAATGGTTGTTTGCTGTTATTATCTTATTACTGTCAGGAACAATTAATTCAGAATGAATATTGAACTGCTTTAGTGGTTTTTACCCAATTCATATTCCCTTTGAGTCAAGTCACGTAGAGCCAGTCGACATGAAGGATTTTTGAATTGACTGTCTATAAGAAGTTAACTAGGTCGAACATTTTACGCTAACCAGCTTGAAACTTGGAAATTATTTTATACCAGTTGTCATAATCGATATATAGTAACATAGAACGTAGAACATCGAATGCATGTGATCACTGTGTGATGTCATGAAGGACGCAGGGGTAGGCAGAACACATGAGAAGTGTTAGGAAATGCATAAAACATAGCAGAGTGTTTCTCAATAATTTTCAAGTTTTCTGACAGTCCCCAAGTGCTTTATATAATAACTGAACTCAGCTTGAAAAGCAAGGTTTTAATTTCTTCTATAAAATACATATAACAATAACTATTATTTTGGATATGACTGACAAAAATAGAAAGTGCACATGTGCATGCTTAGTACTCTCATAATGCATGCATTCCCAACCAATCAGCACGCAAGATTCAAAAAGGTATTTTATAATTTCTTTTATAAAATACAAATCACAATAATAATTAAGCTGGGTACGAATAATGCAATAGAAAGTTGAGTGTGCATGTGTGAGACACTAGATTAGCAGTGTAATGCATGACTCTGTTCAACAAGGGGCCATCCAGTGCCACGTTTAATACATGCTGTGTGCTCTCATAAAGCACAAACTCCCATATGATCAGAAAGCAGGGTTTATGCAAGCTTTTTAGGAGATATGAAAACTTTATTGACTTACGCTTTAATATGCAGCCCGTAAACTTCTCCACTGATCTTGTAAAGTGCCATTAAAGCATAATTATTATTTATCATCATCATCATCATCATCATCATCATCATCATAAAACGTATAAAATTATTTTTAAAAATATAGTAAAAAATATAGTTTTTTAATAATTTGTTTGTCATTCTCAGTTTTGGATTGGTGGTGTTATCGCACTTGGTAAGTTACCTTATACAGCTCTCAATTATGTTTAGGCCTGGGCCTGGTTGTATGGAGAGTGAATAGTCCAGTGGATAAGTTGATTCTGTTATTCAATAAATTTTTCAACTGGATAAGATTTATCTTCAGATAGTGCTATCCACCGTTCATACAACTGGACCCTGGTTTTTGGGACAAAGGTGGAGGGGGATACTTCTAGATGTACATGTACAGCTGGAGATTCCTCGAATTTTTTGTTTACGAAAGAAGGAAAATGACCACTTTATAAAGGATTCTTTTGGCATGTCAAGTGACCTGTCTTGTCACCAATATCTCCTTAACACTGAACTGTAGCCAACTATTCTCAACGTCAATTAAAAATCATAAAGTAAAATTTAGTAAGGGTGCAAACATTTAGCCGCAACAAGTCATAATAATAATGGGCACCTAGGATAAAAAAAAAAATTAGTATAATTTTAGACTTGAATATAGAGTTTCTAGAGCTGTGATTGGTCCAGTGGGCAGTGATTCTGAGACGATAATCATCGCTGTAGCCCTTTGATTATGAAGATTTCCAAAGTTTTCCAGATCAAAAGTAATACTTTACGTTTTTTTATCCTGAATTTCAACTTTTCTCTGATATTCATGTCTAAAATTATACTAATACAATTCCCCTCAGGCTCAGTGATTATAGTGATATTCACCTCAGCTTGGTAAATATTCCACTGATAATTACTTTGCCTTCAGTGAATAATTGTTAAATGTAAATGGTTTGACAAAGTTAGCCAAACATAAAGAAAATAGTATTTTTTTAATGGTTTAATCTGGGTTTGGCACAAAGCCTAGGCCTTAACATGTTTGAACTATTTTGATAAAAATGATATAATGAATGCCCATGTAAAAAAGGCAAGAGTTTATGTTACTTAATAGAGTCAGCATTCATTTCAGGAATGTTAGAGAAAGCAGTCTTCTATTCAGAATATAACAATGTTAATAACACAGGAGTTGCAAGTAAGTGTATCATTAACTAATAAAACCATTTCTTCGTTTAAAGGTTGGCATGAGAATACACTTGAATATAGATACAACTCAAAATCAAATAATTATTTTCTCAATGACATGTGGTCTGAAATAAGAATTCATTTAGGTCCAAGCTAAAAAGATCTGTCATAGGCAATTTTTTTTATAGTTTACTTGAAGATTAATTTTCCCTTAACCTTCACAGCCCCTGGCCTTGTGGTGTTTGCAGAGATAATATCAGTGGCCAAGAGGACACTGGCTCGTATGCTGGTCATTATTGTCAGCATGGGCTTTGGAATTGTCAAGTAAGTAGCAAGCCAGTCATTTGAAAAGTTCTGTACAACTAGAGAAACTTCTCTTGCATATATATAAGTTATGGATATGGTGGTGAATTCCACACCTGAGCCTGGTGCACCACTTGTCAGGCATGATATACTTGGCCATGAGTAAAATTTATGTGTGAGTTAACGGTATGCACTTATATATGTTAAAGCTTTAATAATTTATTTTATATGAAGCAGGGTTTATAGGGGCTGTTACAATTGCAGTGAGTGTTTAATATGTAAGTGTTTTCTTATTGCAGACCTCGGCTTGGAAAATCTCTTCATCGAGTCCTGGTTGTTGGTGCTTTATACTTCATCATTGGCATTGTTGAGGGCTATCTACGATCACACAGAGTGCGTAGAATTTATTATTCTAGTGTATCGACATTTCTCTCTTACTTTCTTTCATTCTCATTTCCATCCATTCTCTTTTTTCTTTAACCATACCAAAACAGAGACATCATTTAATTTTGGTTCAGTTTTAGGATCTACCTAATTATTCATTACAAATTCAGAAATATTCCCCTCAGATTTTCCTCGTTCTCTTTTCCATCCCTTCCTCTCCGTTCACAAACCATAGTTCTAATCTTAGAGTTTTAAACTTTAAGTCTTTTTATTCTTTGGAGCTACCAAATTTGATCACAAAGTTAAAAATATTTTCCTCTCCTTTTTTCTCTATTCCCATTTCCGTGCTTTCCTCTCAGTTCACAAACTATAGTTCTAAACAAAGAGATGACTTGTATTATGAAGTCTTTTTCGTACTTGAGAGCTATAGAATTTGATTACAAACTTATGTATATTTCCATCTTATTGTCCTCCACTATTACATCCTTTTCTTTCATTTCATAAGACCTTTTGTTGTTGTTGTTTTTTGTTTAACATACCTGATTTCTTGATGTGGAGTTGTTGCGGCTAAAGTATGGCTCACAATACCTTACTTCACATTTACTGTAAATATTTAATTACGTTTAGCTCAAGGCAGACCCAAGCAAGGAGCAGCTAATTGCAGGAATTCCTTTAGCTGTTCTCGATGCTGCTATCTGCTGGTGGATCTTCATGTCTCTGGTTCAAACCACCCGCACTTTGAGGATCCGACGCAATGTCATCAAGCTCTCCCTTTACAGGCACTTCACCAACACTCTGATCTTTGCCGTCCTTGGTAGGTCCACGTTTTATCTTTACACGACCCAAAGAAAAGTTTTGATTTACTTTACATTTACCTTATTTTTCCATGCGGCACCTTGCAACATTTTATTGGTATACTAGCTGTGGTTGAAAATGAATATTTCTGTGGTTGATGTGGGTAATAAAAGGAAATCTCGTTCACTAGAAACCTTTTTGAGACTCTACGCCAAGCTGATAGGTCTCATTGCTGACACAGAGGTTGACTCGAACCACTGACCAGTGACATTCAGAATCACTATTGCAGCTACACAACCAAGTCCTCTTATGTAGGTGCAATAAATGCAGCCAATTATGAAAAAATACACAAAAATCTTGCATAGCAAAAACTAGCTGAGTGAGCAAAAGCACTTGCAGTAGCAATGTAATGTGTGATGATAGTCTTAGCAGTATCCCTAACCTGACCCGTACCCCAGTTGAATTTGCTTGCTAATAACCATATCTACGATTGTTTTGTTTCCTTTGTTCTACAGCTTCAGTTGCTTACATGATTTGGTCAATCAAGACTCACAAATTCGCCGAGTGTATAAAGGTTAGTCATATAGTTTTGTTAGCTTAAGGTGTGCACTGTTTTACAATGAACGTTTAAGAGAGGTGAGGTGGTTAGGAGAGGAGATAGTCAACACCTTTAGGGAGGCTTTTTGGTTTCAAGGGAGGGGTCCATTAGTGTCGTGATTCCCACGCAATGTCTAACATCAATAATACCCCGTCAAGTTATCAAGACGAGTGATTGTAGATAGATTTTCTTCCGAAGTACTAGCATCTTCCTCGTATGCTACTTGGCCGTATGCTACTTGGCCGTATGCTACTTGGCCGTATGCTACTCTGCCATATAAGTAAAATGAGGATTACATGTATGTATGTTTGTAGAGTATATCAATACATGTTTTATTTTTATCGTATCGATCATTTCCTAGGCGTCTTTCATTTCGCGGTATTAACGTGCAGACAGTCTTCTCATACGGCAAATGTGGAGTAGAAAGTGGGGAAGAGGAATGAATGGCTGGGATTGTTATCGCTTGTTAAAGCTTGTCCATTATTTACAGCATTTGGCTGTGAAAATGTTCCCAAAGAAGCGTGGTGGAGTAGAAAGGGAAGAGGTGTGAAGGGGTGCTGTTGTCATCGATTGATTTAGCTTGTCCACGAACTAGCTAGACTGTATTGAAAGCATTCCTGGTTGAGGCGCACCACGATCTTAGTTCTTCGTTTCACACAGGAATGCAATCGGGAATGCAATCAATGCAAACTACAATCCACCTGGTTGTAGTAATTGGCATATGAATATTTGGAATACTGATCAAATTATCTTTGTCGACAGGATTGGTCGGAGTTATGGTTGGATGAAGCGTTTTGGCATTTCTTGTTCTCCATCATTTTACTTGTCATCATGGTCCTCTGGCGACCAACTGCCAACAACCAAAGGTAAGCGAGGAAAAACTTTTCCTTGAGCTCTATTGCATAGGGTTTTTGTTTGCACATCCTTCGACCTTGTTACCTTTTAAAATGGCGACGTTGAGAGTTAGGTACGGCAACGGTATGGGGGAGGGGGGAGAATTAGGGAGATGCTTGTATTTAGACTAGATAAAACAGCACGCACGACTGAACCCTGATGGTTTACAGAATGCTCTTCCATCGGGTATATATATAGGTAAAGGGTATGGTAGGTATATCTGTAATTTTTCAACAATTTTAAGATATACTCGCTGTACTCGAATGGGGCACTTGCTATTTACTCGGAAAAACCGGAAATTCCGGTTGGAAAACAAATGGTATGTGTCATTCCGATGGCAATAGTCCGGAAGACTTGGTGTTCAAATTTAAAAAGTAATCCACTTTTCCCGCTCTTTTTGGTTCTTCCGGTAGACACGTGTACCATTTTTCACGAGGCAAAGTTTCCTGCTCGCTCCTTACATTAGCATACGAATTTCCAACCGGATGGATTGGTTTAAATGAAAAGCAGCCTAGCGTTCAATCCTTGATTAATCCAGCACTTGTTCCATTAAGGTATGCCTTCACGCCAATCGTTGACTTTGATGAGGACGAAGAAGATAACGTTACTCTTTCAGAAGCTTTCGGCAAGTATAATAAATACTAAGCATTCGTAGAGAGAGGTCCTGTCCACCCTTATCCGGATGTTTTGGAAATATATTTTGAGATTTTTTTGCAATATTTTTGGGAAAAAAAAAAAAAAAAAAAATGAAAAGTTTTTTTAATATATATTTTCTTTTCCACTAAACACAATGATTTTTTCCCAATTTTTAATCGATTATATTTATTGTATTATTTTGTTCTTTTGGGTTGTGGGTTTTATTGGGTTTTGCCGTTCTCGACATGTTCCCTTCCCCTACCCCCACTCCCTATGTAGCACTTTTTGAGAGGTGAGAACTGAGAGAGAGATTTTCCAAACATGAGAAGAATCTATGTGAATGAATGATGTCATAATTATTTTGTTTGTCAAACAGATGGAATGAAGATGAGGAACACTAGGACTGAAGTGATCGTCGATGGAGATTCCAAAAAGAAGGCTGTAAGTTGCGTTAGTTAATACAACCGACTGAGAATCCCCCCTCCCTCCTCCCTTCTAACCCCCACCTCCCTCCTCGCTCCCCCTCCCTCTACCCTCCTCCCATCATACCTGAGATTCGATTGATTGTTTTTATCTTATAATTTAGTTTGGTCAGGTTTGAAGTAAGTTTTGTATAAGTATACTTTTGGACTTCCCCGTTCCCCCATCCCTCAAATATACCAGGATCCGCCCTTTAAATCTAGATGTTGTATACTAAGAACATTAACAAAATGCACTATGCGTTTTTAGTTTTAAGAGCCTATGAAGGCAAGCTTTAATTCCAAAATCTTTCATAATCAGAGTATTTTAACAATTATTTCTTTACCTTGGTGTTAGGAGGACGATCTTAAATGGGTGGAAGAAAACATCCCATCTTCTGCAGCAGACGCGTAAGTCGTCTTCATGCTCAGTTGTCGTCCATTCTTATGATCCGTTACATTTATTTTTACGTTGTTTTTTCAAATAAGTGGTTCTAATCTAACTTTATATTCAACATTGATAGGGTTTTACCAAGTGTTTTGGACTCAGATGAGGTAAGTTTAGGAAATACTGTTATTTCTGTCACTTCACTATCATTCACGAAACCTTATAATTACTTGTCTAACGTGCTGCGTTATTCCATTTGTTGCGTGCCGTATTAAGCACAATGATTTGTTAATAGGCCCTTTGCAGTTAACGGTCAAGTGTCTGTACTGGTGAGCAAAATTTTTTTATTTTATTTCAAATTGGTGATTCTTTTTAGCTACTTGTAAAGAGCTGAACGAAACGATGTGTAACCAGTGTGTCACGAAATGCAGTTTTATTACGATCTCTCGAAACAGGTTGTAGAAAGTGTGTTTGCTCACCAGTATATTTCACCCATGGGAATCAATATGTTCATTCATTTGCTCCGAGTGAATTAATCAGCACGTGATTATTGAGCTGCAAAGGGCGTATTCCTCCTGTTTACTTCTCGAGTGTCTTATGCGTCTTTGGTTAATATTTACACACACATCACGTATACAGATGCTTTTAGAATGTGCACCAGTTTATTATGCGCACGCAATAGTCTTTTGCGTGTTCTATCTTCTACGGACATGCATTAGAGTGCATACCATATTTCCGTGAAAAAAGCACACATTTGCATAAATTAATAAATTCAGTAGACCTCAGTAAATCGTAGACCTACGAAACTGTTCACTAATTTGTACAATTTTTAACCTGCCACTCTTTGCACTCTTTTAACCTGGCCTAATCTATTATGTATTAAATTATAAGTGAAATTTGTTATCTTAAATATCTTACTTCTTTGTTGTTCGTAAATATTAAATATTTTTTATTTTTCAGGAATTGATGACAACCAAGTTCGAAATGTCAAAAATGGAGTAGTCGATCAATCAGTGATTACCATCGAAGGTAAGAAGACCAAGCTAGTAATATTAATGATTGTCAGACGATTGTTAGATTTTTTTTCGTTACTACACTCAGTGTTCGATAATAGAGCAGTTTTCAAACGTGTAGGAAACGATACGGCAAATCCGTAGCCGTACCGTAGATATACCGTAGCCGTACCATATCTGTAACTCCGCTAGCTGATTGGGTGAATTACTGAAAGACAATGGGAAGCCATTTCATTGTCACGATATGTCCTACCCTGTACGTGGTGTAAGTCAGTACCATATGTTTGCCACTTATACGAAAACCGCTCTATGTCAAAATCGTGCAACAGCGCGACATTGCTGCGTGGGCTGCAAAAGGAATGCTGTTCATTTTACCATCACGCGTACGACGAATTCTCTTTGTTGCACAACGTGTAGCCTTTTTACTTGGTAAAACGGACAAAATTTGATCATCGTCTCGGGAAGCAATATCGCTTTGTGATACAAAAATGCGAGCCTTGTGGCTTGAAGACTTGGAACGTTTACCCTACCTTTGCAAACACAAGACTTGGTTTACTACTGTCATAAGCAATGACACCAGAACTAAATAATGTTAACGAAGAATTCATGGCCATCATTAAATGATTAAAATTTTAACTTTCTTTATTTTCTAGAAAGCACCACTGGCCTCTGCGCTGCAAAGACTGAAATGGCTTACCCTTTGTGTAAAAAGAATTAAGCATTTGGTATCAAAGTACCAAATGAAAATGATATAGGGATGTCTAAAGCTGATACTTAGAAAACCATATAAAACTAGATAATTTGTCCATGGACACATTTTCATTTTGCATCTCAACCTATTACTGTGCAACTTCACCAACCAGAGCCACGCAGACAAATTTGCATACATATTAGCCAATCACCATTGAGTATTTAAACAATAGAATCTGTACAAATTTTTACATTTTCCTCTTTAAAATGATATATTTTAATTCATACGTGTGTGTGTATGATCAGAAGTGAATAAGAAACAGTTTAAAACCCAGAATTCATTGATTCATCTGTTATGCAGTGTTATAGCAGGCTATTGTTTGGGTGGTATTGGTTGATGTAGTCGCAATGTGAAAAATATTTTAGCCGCAATATGGGTCATCAACCCGGTTAATTTTATAAAACGTGTTTAGTGGTGCAACTCAGGAACCGCTAAATATTTAAATTTAATCAAAGATTATTATGACGTAAAGCAGGCAATACGCTTTGAAACGAGACGTTTTTGAAGTTCCTGTGCCATCACGATGGTAAAATACTGTAGTAATGTCTCGTGATTTTCTCGCATTTCGAAATGTTTTCGTTAGATTAGTTTAAGGAAATGCATTTCCGCGTAAATAGTAGCATCTAAAGCGAAATAATATTTTGCATTCGTAATTATAGACCATTATTTTTCTACGTTGTATTAGATTACATAACATATATCCGTGAGAAAGTTAGCTGACACAATTGTACAAATTAGTACAAAGTTTTGTAGGTCTACGGTCTACTGAGGTCTACTGAACTTACTAATGTGTGCAATCTCTTACGAAGTTTTTCACGGATATATGGTATGCACTCTAACAGTACAATGAATCATAAAATAGCGTACCTCCTGCTTGGGTATCCTGGTTGACAGTTCGGAATTTGGATAGAAACATGGAAGCTTTCTTTCAAAACTCCTTTAAAACGTGGGTGCACAGACAGTGGCCTGGTTCTCGATAGCGACTCAAGCCGACGCGAGCAGAAGCACGAGCGCAAAAACACAATCTTCCATTCTTTTGCGTTTGCACATGCACTATTTCAAGTTGCGTCGGCTTGTGTCACTAGCTAAGTGTCGTGTACATTGATCTAATTGTGTCCGTATTCTATGCAGTTTAGACGATAGTTTGATAACTTCACTAAGTATACATCCACTCGATCTTCTCCATGTTAAACTTATTTAGACCCTTAGCTTGAAATACACCGGAAAAATTCTAAGCTGAGATTTTACGTATTTTCTATTAATTTTCTGTTTTTAAAACCACTGATTTTCACCCCGTGTATACTTCGCGCCCGTCTGATCTTTTGAACTTACATTGGAAAATATTCATGGGGGACTTAATTTAATACTTGTAGTCTTCACCAATATATCCGTTTAAATGTGGTATTATACTAGAGCAGATATTGTATGACTGTGAGGCACACTCGTATGCCCCTTCTTCTGATTGGATAAAACTGACTAATCGGGCTTTGATTGGACCATTAGGTATGAAACCGTGACCGTGCCGATTGTACGCAGTCCTGCAAAATCTAGCGTTTTTTTACGATTGTCTTTAGAGTTTCTCTTTCCTTTAACCATTTAACAAGTTAGTCATCAAGCTCCGAATACACGCAGCACCTTTATCGGTTAAAAACASTGACAGCATCATGACTTTATTTTTGTTACATTATCGGCCAAAGTGAAAATTCCTGGCTGTAGCATGTCTTGCACGACTGTAGCTATACTGTTTTGCAATAGCAAAATGACTGAAGTATAGATCCCTTGGAGCACGTCGGCATGCAGCTCAATTTGGAGGACAAAATACGTTTCCAATTCTCTGGAGATTGAAATTCTTTTATTTTGTTCTCCAAATTGAGCTGCTTTGACGTCACATGCAAGGGGTCTGCTATGAACAATACACGTGCGGGTAGCTCATTTTTAACTCTGCATACAAGCTACATAACATTAGGCATAGTAGACGCATTTTAAAGATTGAGTTTCCAACAACTTCTTAAAACGTTGAGGCGTGTATCTGCAGCCTTATACTGAATATTCATCTAAACAAAGTGATATTAAGATTATATAATTATTAATTAATTTAAGAAAATAAAACACAACCTAACATGATTGAAAACTCATTTTAAGACTAAAGTGCTGTGCCACTGGCCCAAACGAACACGCACAAACACACTGTACATGTTTCTCTTTAATTTTCCGAGCATTAATTCCTTATATATGAAATACAAAGAGCAAACACGAAGAAAGACCTATTCATATCTATGATCAAGTCTGGTACGAAAGAACAGAATCATTTATCATTTTACAAGGAAATTAAACAATTACTAAAACATCCATGTTTATCAAGAGTAATTAGTAATAAATGACGTAGTTGCCAATCAAGTGACGTCATCAAGCAATCGGCCAACTAATTATCAGTTCCTTAGTTGTACACTGAGGAACAAGTCGTGTTAATTTGCGCGAATCATTTTTTGATCAGTTCAGCAGCTCTAGAGTTCGTTTTACAGAACTTTTCAGATCTTTGGTCATGGCAGTTTTTGTCTTTATCGCGTGGTAAGTTGAATTAATCAATCATCAAACTTTTTTGAAATCGTTGTGACAGTCTTCCAACGACAAACGCTTGATAATTTAAACCTTGCTTTTGATTGATTGTTGTCAGATGTCATGAACTTCTTCAGAAGAAGACAAGACAACCGACGGAAGGAGCCCCGCCCCGAGGGACGAGTGGCTAACTTCTTTCAAGGGGTTGTCAGTCTTGTCTTCTATTGCATCTTGAACGATGCTGCTGGTGGCGACGACGGTAAGTTCAAACACAACCATTCAATATCCTAGACCCTTTTCTTTCTGAGCTTGAAAAAATTCAAAAAGTTCACCTGGCTTGGCATTTTAAAAATAACGGAATATTTTAAATTAAATATTGGTTGTTTTTTTTAATTGACTTTTTTTTTTTCCATTTACGGAATTAATATTATTTGCGTGACATCATGAATGCTGCTATTCGAAAGAACCAAAGAACAGTTTATTACCGCGCGTCTACACCATTAGAACATCAGACCTATTCTAAAGAACATCAACATCGCATTATTCGTCAGTCGATATGTTCCCCGAAATATATATATTTTAATATTCTCTTTAACCATCTTTGTGACAGAACGAGAAGTAGTCAACGAACCATCTGCACGCACCACCTCAGCCCACAGCAGCACTAAACCTTTGACTATAGATACTCTGGTTGATCATAGAAGAACCAATCACGAACCTCACCCTTGCCTGATCTCTCTGTCCTCATCCAATACACACTCACCGAGTGTTGGCAGATTGCAGGAGGGCAAGGGTGATGGAAAAACAAGCAAATCAACTGAGAAGAAGAAGAAAAATTGGTTTTCCTGGTTCAAAAAAGGAAGCACAAAGAACAACGTAACAAAAGAACCAGAGAAAAACAACGATGAATCACCTAAATCGGCCTCTACTACACCTTTTGCTATTCATTAACCGCAAAGGAATATTCATTGAAGTGAAGAAGCATTTTCATTAGAGCGAACAGGCATACAWTAAGGCGAACGGAGTCTCAATAGTGCGATAGAACGTTCATTAAGAAATTTAGCATAGAATTTGACAATCATGAATATGTTTGCGTGGGTTCATTAACGTTTTCAAACTTTCATTAGCGTTTTGGTGCAGATAATAAAATACAACACACACTCAATACAGCGTTTTGGACATTTATTTACGCAATACAATATAAGTTTATTTTTCACTAGGAATTGTAGGATTTTAATTGTCTTTTCATTTTTTTACAAGCCGTGAATATGATTTCGTACAAACAAAGCGCCGTTAGGTATAAATATTAAGTCAATTCTGAGTTTTTTAATCCCTCTTTTTTGGATGTTGCAATGGTTCAACAAATAAACCAAATTCCAAATGAAGTCAGATAGCGTCTTGTGAGGGCCTATGAAGATCCACAGAAATGCATAAAATGGTACAACCACATGCAAACATATCGTCCAAGATGTTTAAATAGAGAACACATTCAAG